CATCAGCACAATGTGCTCCTGACATGATATAATGAGAAGTGCATTTCACCTCTGCAACCTCAGTATAAATCTTTAGAAAATATCTCACAGCCCCCAAATAAAGGGAAATTCTACATAGTGTCAAGGTCATAAAAAACAGAAAAAAAAACGGTTACAAAATTGAACCTAATGTGACATGGCTTGCTAAATGTTCACATTTGGATTTCCAGAAAAAAAAAACACATTAGTTAAAATCTGTAAAATACAAAGAACTACTACAATGTTGTTGATTATGGTCACAAAATTAATTTCTTAGTTTTGAAAATTGCACTGCAATCATACTGTTAGCAGTAGAAGAATCTTGGTGAAGAATATGCTGAATATATTGGTGCTAACTATGAAACTACAAAATCTAAAATTACTTCAAATTTTAAAAAATAAATATAAAGGATTCGATCTTATAAGGTAGCAATTTCCTATTAATATTTTATCTGGCTATATCATACTTGTATGGATATTTGGCATAATGTTTAGGCATATTGACTAACCATTTGGAAATAGAACATAATTACAAATCTAGGGTTTTATTTCTTTACAGACACAGTGAGTTTATTTTCACATATATCAAATTAGGATGAATTGAAATAATTGTGTTATTTAGCAGTAAGTATACCAATTGAAGATAAAAAAAAGGTACAACTGAGCTGATTTTCTCAGTACCGCACCATTGGATAAACCTTTTACAGACAGTATTCAGGGGGCCAGAGCAATAGTACCTTGGCTTTGGCGTTCCACACAAATGATGATGGTTCAATCCTAGGCACTATATATGGTCTCCCACCAGGAATTATCCTTGAGTACAAAGCTAGGAGTAAGTCCTGAGCTCTCCTCAGTATGACCCATTTTTTAAAGGTGACATTAAATTTTCTCATTAATATATGTCATGAGAATAATGTCTGTGTATTCTGGACTTCTTGAACATTTGGCTTGGGAAAATTATTGGCTCAAATTGCCAATCAAAATAAAAGTTAGTACATCGAACTAGGGCTGGAGCGATAGCACAGTGAGTAGGGCGTTTGCCTTGCACGCGGCCAACCCAGATTTGATTCCTTCGCCCCTCTCGGATAGCCCATCAAACTACCGAGAGAATCTCACCCCCACAGCAAAGCCTGGCAAGCTTCTCGTGACGTATTTAATATGCAAAAAAACAGTAACAACAAGTCTCACAGTTTGTTGTGAGACATTACCGGTGATCGCTCGAGCAAATCGATGAACAGTGACAGTAACAGTGACATCAAACTAAAAAGTTTCTGCACAGTGAAGCCAGAGATATAGCACAGGTGTCAGGAGGGCATGGATTACATGCATGGTAGCCTTGTCTTATACATGGTTCCCTCAACTTCTCGGTGCAGACCAGAGGTTCTGAAGTCCTGCTTAGTGTTCATAATAGTCCTGCACTACAGATACAGCCTTGTGGTTTTCAGCAACACAGTACCCTAGTTGTAATGCCTTCTCTGGCCCTACATTTGAACTGTCCAGCCTAGTTGACTGAGTATTACCAGGAATGCCCCCTAGATCATCTACTGAAAAACATTTATTCACAGCAAAGAAATAGTCCGCTAAATGAAAACCCAGTCTTTGCAATGGGACAAAACATTTGCAAATTATCTGGGATGGAGGTAATATACTGAATACCTAATATTCTCTTGTTGATAATTGACAGCTTTCCCTTTCTTTTAAAGACATTAAAATATTAAAGAAACTCCAACCCAAACTCCTAACCTCATTCTAGATATTTTCTGGCACCTTGATCAGTGGTTTGCTAATTCTGTCCCAAGACCAGCTTATTCCCTTGCTTAGTTGCAAGACTTCCACACTGGTATAGTAGTTTCCTACACTGACTGTAGCAGGTTTCCTCAAACTGGAATTTATTCCCTCACAAAACTGGAGTCTATAATTCTTTTTTTTTAATTTTTATTAGTGAAACACCATGAGGTACAGTTGTAGAATTACAAATTTTTGTGCTTGGGTTTCAGTTATACAATGATTGAGTACCCATCCCTCCACCAGTGCCTATTCTCCACCACCACTAATCCTACCCCCATCCCCCCATCCCACCCTGCCTCTGTAGCAGGGCACTCCCTTTTATTCTCTCTCTCCTTTGGGTGCTGTGGTTTGCAAAAGAGGAATTGAGTGGCAATCATGTTTGGTCTATAGTCTACTTTCAGCATGTAGTCTATAATTCTTAAACCAAGTGTTCTTCGGGGCAGTTTGTCCTCTGAAGGCCATAGAGGAGAAGTCTTTCTTGTCTCTTCTACCTTTGAGCAACTATAGACAATCCTTGGTGTTTCTTTACTTATAGACACCAGTCCAATTTATGCCTCCTTTATTACATAGCATTCTCTTTGAGTCCAAATTTCTCAATTTCTCTGTGTTTATAATGATAGTAGTCTGTTTGTAGCGCCCTCCTTAATTCATTACTGTTTCTTCATATTATAAATAATTATGCACCCGTATTCATATGTAAATTTAAATATCTTTATTCATTCAATCACCATCAGGCACTCAAGTCCTTCCCATTTCTTGGCTATTCTAATAGTTATGCAACACTTAATTCTTTAACAAGAACTAGAGTAGAGGTGCCAGTGTTCCTAGAGTAACTATATTTCCAAGAAAATCTTCTGATCCATTTCAGATGGATGTCTCCATTAACAAATATTGCAACATTCAGTAGGATTGAACTAATATTAAATGGATAGGGTTAAATTTTATTTTATATCCTTGTTTTGAATTCTATTTGAAATTTTATCAGTCTAATCTGGAAAAATATTATGAAGTTATGGCAATTGACTTACATGTGGCCAACCCCAGTTCACTCTCCAGCATGACAAGGTTTCCGAAACATCATTGGATGTAGCCCTAGAGTATCCTGAACACTTCTTGGTATAACCCTGGAGACCCCTGAGCACAGCTGGGATGGCCCGGATAATCTTGGCACTGCAAAACCTGAGCAGCACTGCATCCTTGGATACTTACATTGAACTGAAAGTCCAATTGAATGAGAATTGCAGGAATGTGCCCTCAGTCTTCCTGAGCACCACTTAGGATACTTACTCCCCCCCAATTATAGCAGTCTTTTGTGGAGAAAAATGAAAAAGTATAGACTTTCACATGTGACATGTAACATTAATGGTAATTGTAGAGGGGGTTCTTTAACTTTTGTGATTCTTTGAGCTCTATTTTTTTGAGAAAGGTTGTTGATATCACATAAAAGAACAATATTATACCTCAGATTTTGAAAAAGAGATTATAGAGGAGAAAAGGATTTTTGGAAAATCTTAGGGCTTATTCCTGGCTCCATACCCAGAAATCACTCCTGGTGGTGCCCAGATCATATATGATACTGGGGATTGAGTGATATAAGGTTAAAGTCTTTCCCATTGTACTTTATCTCTAGCCCCTTACGTAAGCAATATATTTAAGAATCACTTCCCTGGAAACAAGGAATCCCGGTATTTTACATATTTTTTGACCTGGAAGTTCACTAAATATGCAAAGTGACGTGTTTAGATAAATTAATAAAACTCTCCAGACACACCACCTCTCATTTGGTCATTCTGAATAAAAAGAATTGCTGTCTTTTTCATGAGTAAACTCTTTTGGCTTTAGTACCCTTACATTAATCTACCACTGCAGCTGTAATAACAAACTATGTATTTAAAAACAGATTTATTATGTCAAAGTTCTGGAAGCAACACATCTTCAATTTTATCCTCCTTCTGAAGGATATAGTCTAAGGAGAAATCCTTTCTTACCTTTTTCTAATTTCTGGAAATTGCTGGAAAACCTTGGCATCTCTTGTTTTATATAGTTGTATCACTCCAATTTCTTCATCTCTGCTTGTGATCATATTCCATTTGTGTACATGTCTATCATATATATATAGAGATGTATATATATATATAATTTCAAAATTTCTTCCCAGTGATGTGGCAGAATGGTAGAGTACCTACATTTTCATGTTTAAATCTTTGAGTCCTAATCCCACATCATCAAATGCCATCTGAGCACTCTGATTTTGACCCCTAGTTGGTTGCACTGTAACCAAGTGTGCAAGCTTTGCTACCAAGAATGTAAGACTCATAATTACAACAATGACAAAGGGAAAGGAAAGGTTGAAAATGAACCACTCATTCGCCACTATCGTCCAGTGTGATTAATCTTGATTTCATTTACAATGACACTGTTTTTAGAAAAGGTGATATTCCTGATAAGGTACTCTATTATAACTTGAAACCCTTTCATATCAGTATCAGACTGGACTCTTTCAATGACCATTGAAATATTTATAAAAGGTGTCAGTCACAAAATAAAAGCTCTGGTTTCGAATCTGTTTGTTCTGTTAGAAAATCATATATCTGTAATTTGTATGTGAATTTGGGATAAGACTATTCTTAGTACTTGCAAGGTTTCCATTAAAAGAATCTTTAGGATTTTTTGATCATATGTTGATGGAAAACTTAAAGGTTTAGAGGTCATTGAACTTTGAATCTTAGTTGTATTATGCAAAAATTTGTTTAGTGTATATAGAGGCATTCAGTTAGTTGAAAACAACGTTTCTTTGAGCAACTCCTCCCCCACACACATGCACCTCCAGTTGGAAATTTTCACTTTTCATTATTTTGGAATGAAACGAATGTTATATAAGTGTCATATGTTTGGATGCCATGCAAACAGTAATGAAAGATACAAAGAAGTAGTATTTTGAAATGACTATGTTAGAAACTAATTAATAGAAATAAAAAAGCAAGACAACTCCATTAGCTTGCTCAATTTCTTTAGTAAAATGGTGAAATACTTTAAAATATCTGTTAATATTTCAGTTAAAATCATTTAGATTTAATGTGTATATAATATTTAAAATTTCATAGCAGCCTACAATATATGACATTATTTTTTTGCTTTGAGATTGCTGTATTATATAGCGAGACTTTTATTTTTATTTCTATTCTGTGTTTCAGGGACTACATGAAAAGACTGGTGCATTTACAGCTGTTAAAGTGATGAATGCACGTAAGGTAATACTAAATTCTGTTTCTATTCTGTTCCTTTAATGGATTGTGGTCTTCAGAAATGCAGACCGGAGAATTGTATATTTTAATCCATTACTGTAAGCAATTTTAATTATGTTAATGTGGGCCTAATATATATACCAATTAATACTCATTCTCATTAGCATATTATATTAATAATTGATTAATTATATTTATATGTAAAATGTTTACTTGCAGCAAAAGACCTATATTTTTTAGTATTAGACAAAAATATAACACATCTGCATTCCTGTCTTTTAGTGGATAATATATTTCCAGATATAGGAAAAAGGATGCTTCTAATACTGTGTTGATCCTGTTGCAATTTGTTATAGTCATGTCCCTCTTCAGATATTCCTTTTGAGACTTGAGACCATTAGATTCTCAGTGACAGGTAAAAGGAGAATTTTTAGGGATGCACTTTTTTCATAGATTTTCTGACACATGAGCAAGAGAGACAGTTTAATTGGCACTATTCCTACTAATATTCATGAAGTAGTGTCACATTCAAAACATATTGTAATAGAATTTGCTACATAAGAAATGATTTTTGTCATATTCAGCACAAGTGCCTCACTTTTATTGGATATTATTTGCATGAATATAGCAAAAGTTATGTTCTAACTTTTCCATACCAATGAAAATGCTCAAATATTATTTTGAAAAGTATCCAATTCACTGAAGTTTCTTTTCTTGTTTGTGCAAATAGCTAATTGCTGAAACTATAAACAGTTCCAAGATTTTTGTTTTACCAGAATACACTTTTTTAAAACAAATGTGAGGGTTTTTTTCTCGTTTTATTTATTTATTTATTTATTTAAATTGAATCGCCATGATATAGAGAGTTACAAAGCTGCTCATGGTCAGGTTTCAAGTCACGCAATGTTCCGACACCCAATCCTCCAACAGTGCACATTTCCCACCACTAATGTCCCCAGTTTCTCTCCCACCACTTCCTTCCCCCTGCCCAGACTGTGAATATTTTTTAAGCTAAAATTAAGCTTCCAACAATTAGTTTGTACTTCTTTTAAATGTAGGAGTACTGCTATTTATTCAGGCATTCGTTAAGCTGATTGAATTGGGCATGAACTCCACTAGTTTGTGTTTTTGGTTGAGAATTTCTAATGTATTTATTTTCTTGTTTTAAACTAGGAGATCTTGAACTACATTTTATATAGTTTAATTTTAGAATTAAATATTTAAAAGTTAAATTAAGCCAACAGGTAGAATCAGCACATTTTATATATTAATGTTTGTTTGTTTTGGGGCCATACCCAGAGAGGCTCAGGTCTTACACCTGGGTCTGCACTCAGGGTCTATATGTGCTCAGGGACTACATGTGATGCCTGGGATCGACCCCAGCTAAGCCACATGCAAGGCAAGCCACCTACCCACTGTTGTAACCCTCTTTCCCCAATACCGTGTTTTTCAATTAGAGATCACTTTACTAACAATATAATTTCCCTATTACAAAATAAAATGTGTTACTAGGAATTTGTTGCCAAAATTGCATATATATGTGGATCTAAATTTTTAGGGCTGAGAGATGTTACAGTGGTTAACACATCTGCTTTCCATGCAGCTTACCCTGGTTCAGTGTTGGCACAACATATGGCTTCCTGCACACCTTTAGGAGTGATCCCTGAGCAGAAGGCCTGTAGTAAGCCCAGAACACTCCTGAGTGTGGCCCAATCCAACCCTAACAAAATCTAAACTTCTAGCTAAAACTATAGCACCGCAGCACTGTCCTCCTGTTGTTCATCGATTTGTAAAAGCGGGCACCAGTAACGTCTCACAACAAAATTTTGAGACTTGTTACTGTTTTTGGCATATCAAATATGTCACGGTTAGCTAGCCAGGCTTTGCCGGGCAGGTGAGATACTCTCGGTAGCTTGCGGGCTCTCCGAGAGGGCGGAGGAATTGAACCCGGATCGCCTGCGTGCAAGGCAAATGCTTTACCTGCTGTGCTGTCGCTCCACCATTAATTATTTTATAATTAACCATAATTATTATATACAATAAACTATAATTAATTGTACTTATTATAACAATATTAATAGTAATAACATCATATTATTATTACTTGTATTGGGGGGGCCACACCCAGTAGTGCTCAGGGATTACTCCTGATCTTGAACTCAAGGGTCACTCCTGACAGGGCTCAAGAGACCGCTGGGTTGCCGAGGGTCGAGACTGCTGGGTTAGTCGCTTGAAAGGCAAGTGCCTTACCCACTGTGCTATCCCCCAGCGCCTCTCATGTATTTTTATACTGTTTTTGATAACCAAGGCAAAACTAAATAAGATTATTGCCACCTTATGTATCAGTAACTTCACTTTGTGGATTTAAAGTTGTGATCTGGTTCACAAGTTATCATCACAAGTTAGTTAATAGTGAAGCTAGAATCTGAATTCAAATCTTGTGTTTATCATTTCTTGGCAAAGGAGTGAGTGTCTGGACCATACCAGGTCTAGCTCTGTACTGAGGGGTAGGGTGCTGCATGGTGCCAGGGATAAAACTGATGCCAACTGCATGCAAGGCCAGTGCTTTAACAAAATTCAGTGAACTACATTTTTGTGTATGTATGGTGACAAAAATAAACTCCAAAGTGTCATACATGCAAGGCTAGTGTCTTACTGCTGAGCCCACATCTCTGACCCCTCAGTGAACTTCTCTCCAGTTCATAATCACCTGTCTTACTTAGCAGTCAAGACTCAGAATGTCAAGTTCTAAAGTAATTTAACTGTGGGTAGCACAACAGAGGGTCAGGTGTTGTTCCTTCGGTCTAAACACTGATAGTACAGGACGGATTGGCCCTCACAGCTGGACCACCAGTCACACTAGTTCTCTTCCTATTGCTACTCTCTGCATCTCCCCACCTGCATATGGGGTATGAAACATGAACTTGGCAGCACAGTTTGGCCTAATCTATTCTGTTAATGAAAATTGAGAAGGAAGCAATGTTATTCTTTATTCTTTAGTACTAGATGAAAGCACAAAGTATTATGTGATTTGTAGAGCATTTTTATTTGATTTTGGGTGCTACATCCAGAGGTGCTCAGAGACTACACCCAGTTCACTGCTTAGGGGTCACTCTCGTTGTTGTTTGGGAGATCAAGTGGTGGCAGAAATTAAACCCAGAACTCTTGGACGCAAAAGATGAATTCCAGGTTATTGGTCTAGTGCCCTGGCCTTTTTAAAAAAGTGTACTAGTGAGTCTAATGACATTTTGTTCTTGTTTTTGCAGACTGCTGTACCTGAAATTGGAAAGCGAGTGAGAGTGAATAAGTACCAAAAGTCTGTAGGGTGGAGATACAGTGTGAGTACTCAGACTTCTCTCAACCCCCACCTTGTATTCCTTTAATTGTGAGATTTAAATTAATCTCTATATTTTCTCATATATTTATAGGAACTAAAGTGTTGTTGCCTATAAATAATTTCATATTTATATGTTAGGCATATTAGCATAGTGAAAAGCAGGGCCTCTAAGAAACAGTTCCTTCCACAGATAGATCATGACTGCAATCACCAAATATCTTTACACCAATATCAATTTGTCCTCAGTACTTTTGAGGACCGACCTGAGTTCGATTCCTTCGCCCCTCTCGGAGAGCCCAGCAAGCTACCCAGAGTATCTCTCCCGCATGGCAAAGCCTGGCAAGCTACCCGTGACATATTCGATGTCCCAAACACAGTAACAACAAAGTATCACAATGGAGACATTACTGGGCCTGCTCGAGAAAATCAATGAACAACAGGAGAACAGTGACAGTAACAGTGACTTTTGAGGACAAATTGATATTGATGTAAATGTCTTGATAGTGGTATAAATGTCTAAAGCGTAGCTATCAGTGATAAAGGTTATGGGTCCTAGTAGCTAGTGTCAGTATACTTTTCTAACATCATACCATCTTCTGATAGACATGACTCTTGACACTACAGTTCGGTGACATCAACTAAAATGTTGCAATACCTGTAATTGAAGTTAACTGTAGCCCCCTGACTTACTGACCTACATTTTCATTCTAAATGTTTATAGAAGTAATGCATTCATAGAAGTAATTTTAATTTATGTTAATTGATATAAAATATACTTTTTTCAAAATAAAATATGTAAATTGAAGATTTAGTTAGAACACTCAAAGTCTGAGATGTATAATTGTTTGAGCTTATTTTAGATGGGGCTGGAGCGATAGCACAGCGGGTAGGGCGTTCGTCTTATAAGCGGCCAACATGGCCAACCCGAGTTCGATTCCTCTGCCCCTCTTGGAGAGCCCGGCAAGCTACCGAGAGTATTTGATATGCCAGACACAGTAACAACAAAGTCTCCAATGGAGACGTTACTGGGCCCGCTCGTGCAAATCGACGATCAACGGGAGGGCCTTTACCTTTACCTTTCTTTATTTTAGATTAAAAATAAATGCCTAGAATAAATTATAATTTATTGAGAATATCTATACCCATTTATTGCTTTTATCCATAGTGATTCATTAGCATATAAAATACCTAAAATAAGATGTACTTTGGAGCACATATGCTGCCTTCACACATGTGTGTTGCGAGCCCATGCTCATGGTGCCTGCATGTATATGCTGTCATATCTCTCCTCTTGAAATGTGTATTTTCATACTTTAATGTTGTGATGTGTACTAGGGATCTCTCTCTTCTCTGGAGAAGCCTGCATTCTCTATTGAACACATTTATCTCTCTCTTTTCTTCCTCACCTTCTAAAGATCTACCAAATAAAGCCTGTTTCTACTTCACAAAAAATATAGCACTGTAGCATTGTCATCCCATTGTTCAACGATTTGCTCGAGTGGGCACCAGTAATGTCTCCATTGTGAGACTTGTTGTTACTGTTTTTAGCGTATCGAATATACCACAGGTAACCTGCCATGCTCTGCTGTGTGGATTGGATACTCTAGGTAGCTTGCCGGGATCTCCGAGAGGGTTGAAGGAATTGAACCCGGGTCAGCCGCATGCAAAGTAAATGCCCTATCTGCTATGCCCTCGCTCCAGTCCTCACAAAAATATACACTTAACATTTAGCACTGCTATAGAAAACTGTTCAGGAAGCCTATACTATACTTTATGTGTATATATATGCATATATGTACACATACACACACATATACATATATATATCACACATACGAAAGCACAGTTTTATGTATGGCCAAATTTTTGTGACCACTTAAATAAAATTGAACATATTGAAAAACATTGATACAAATTATAAACAGTTCCATTAAAATGCAATTAATCACAAACTAATAAGGCAATGTGTGATAGTCTTACCTCTGTTATAGCATTTAAAACTTTTTTGATGTTTTTTGCCGCATCTGGTATTTTAGAGCTTATTCCTGGTTCGGTTCTCAGTGATCACTACTGGCAGTGCTCAAAGGACCGTCTGCAGTGCCAGAGATTAAATATTAAATCAAAAATAGTATTTGAAGCAATGAAATCGAACTATTTGTTTATGCCTACAGTCAACTAGTTTTCACAAGTATGCAATGATAGAGAAAACAAGTTTTTCACTAATAATCATGAGACAACTGTGATCTCCACATGCAACAGAATTCAGTTGGACCCTATTTGATATTAAAGTTAACTCAAAATTGATTAAAGATGAAAGTATTAGAACTAAAACTATACTAGGCCCAGAGTTTGCCTTGCACACAGCTGACAATAGTTAGATCCCTGACAACCATATGGTTCCTGAGCACTGCCTGAGCGCAGATCCAGGAGAGAGCCCTAAGCTCTGCTGGTGTGACTAACCTACAAAAAGAACTAAAACTACAACCTTCTTAAAAGAAAATGTATATGTAAAACTTTATATGGATTGATCAACAGATTCCTGGATATGATTTTGAAAGTGAAAGCAACAAAATATATGAGATGTGTACTTCTACAAATCATTGGAATTCAAATTAATTTTTTGCCTCGAAAAACCCATCAAGAGAACAGAACACAGAATTTGAGAAAATATTAGCAAATCATAAACTTTATGCAAACATTATCTATAAAATTATAAACAAATCCTGTAATTCATTCTTAAAATGACAATTCAGTTCAAAAACTGGGACTAGCAAAAAAAAAACTGGGACTAGCTTCTTCATGGATAATCCTGTGAATAACACATAAAATGGACACTAAGCACATAAAAGTACTTACTGTCATTAGTCATCAGGGAATTGAAAAAACATAATGAGTTACCAGTTCCACAAAAACGAGAGTGATTGTAAAGTAGAAGATAGTAAGTGTTCATGAAGATCTGGAGAAATTTAAGCTATTATCACTGCTGCGAATGTAAAAGTGTTAGAGCACTGTGGAAAACACTTTGACATCGCATCGAAGTGTTAAAATAGTTGCTTCTGATCTCATAGCTTTACTGTTAGTTTTAAGCCAACCAATTACAACATATTTCCACTAAAAATGCAATTTGAATGCATGTAGCACAATTGTTAATCACAAAATGACTATTATATAGCCTAGAAGTGAAGTAATTCAAATGATGGTTGTTGGCTGACAGTAAACAAAGAGAAATGAAATACTGATGTGCACTACAACAGAGAAATATTTGGTAGAATAATAGTCACAAAAAGTCCACACACTGTATGATTTTCATTTACATAAAATATACTGTGTTTTATATACTATACATATATATATCCCAAGTATATACAGGAATTGGAGAGATAGTACAGGAGTTAAAGGACTTACTATTTATGCAGCTTGGTGCTGGTTTGATCCCCAGCACTAAATGTTGCCTTCGGATCATCTCCAGGAGTGGTCCTTGATCACAGAGCCAGGATTAAAGAGTAAGCTCTGGGTGTGGCCCAGAAAAAAACAAAAATTTATATTAAAAATGAAATATCAGTATAAATTTATCAAGAGAAGTATACATATATTATGGTGCCAGAGTGATAGTACAGTGGGTAGGACATTTTCCTTACATGTGGCCAACCTGGGTTTAATTACCGGCATCCCATATGTTCCCCCGAGCACTGCAAGGAGGAATTCCTGAGTGAAGAGCTAGGATTAACTTCTGAGCATCACTGGGTGTGATTAACTTCTGAGCATCACTGGGTGTGACCCAAAAAGCAAAAAATATGTAAATAAATAAAGAATATAGTCTTAAAAATAAATTTATGCAGTATGCATAATTTATCAAGACAAGGATATATTATATATATCAATATATATCAAGATATATATATATCAATATAAAGATAAGGGCTGGAGTGATAGCACAGCAGTAGGGCCTTTGCCTTGCATGCAGCCAACATGGCCGACCTGAATTCAATTCCTCCGCCCCTCTCGGAGAGCCCGGCAAGCTACCGAGAGTATCTCACCCGCACGGTAGAGCCTGGTAAGCTACCCGTGATGTATTTGATATGCCAAACACAGTAACAACAAATTCCCCAATGGAGACGTTACTGGGCCCGCTCGAGCAAATCAATGAACAATGGGAGGACAGTGACAGTGACAGTGACAAGGATATATTAATGCTTTCCAAAATTTATTGAAGTGATTACTATATAATTCTGTAACTTTACCAAAAACATTGAATTTTGTCATTTAAACGAGTTAATTATATTTAAGTTATATCTTTATCAAACTGTTAATAGGAAGTAAAACGTGATGACTATTCATTCAAACTTTACATTGGACTTTACTGTTGATCTGGATACGATAGTTTGAAAGAAGTAAAATTCAAGATCTTTATCTCCAGAATTCCCAGTTAAACAAAGAGATCCATTCCTTGATAATCTACTTGAAATTTGATTATAAGGTTCAGTGTGCTATAATAATGAGAATTCTATGATTGCTCTTAATTCCATAGGAACCTCCTTTCATCTACAACAATTAGATAGTAGATTAAGTTTCAGAGTCACAGACTGGCATAATTTATGAATTTAACTCCTATTCTTATTCTGCAGGATGAGGAAGAGGATCTTAGGACGGAACTCAACCTTTTGAAGAAGTACTCTTTCCACAAAAACATTGTATCTTTTTATGGTGCTTTTTTCAAAATGAGTCCAGCTGGTCAGAGGCATCAACTTTGGGTATATAATTATTTTATATTTATTCCATATGACAGAGGCTTACTTTAGGACGCACAGTTTCATGATCTGAGATGTCACTTTTATCCACTTACAAGAGAATTTAAGCACACGAACATTTCTTGAAGTAGTGTGAAAAGTCAGTCTCTAATTCTTGAAGCTCATAATAATGTAGCGCTGTAGCATGGTCCTCCAGTTGTTCATCGATTTGATTGAGCGGGCACCAGTAACGTCTGCATGGTGAAACTTGTTACTGTTTTCGGCACATCAAATACGTCACGGGTAGCTTGCTAGGCTTTGCCGTGTGTACGGAATACTCTAGGTAGCTTGCTGGGCTCTCCAAGAGTGATGGAGGAATCGAACCTGGGTTGGCCGCATGCAAGGCAAATGCCCTACCCACTATGCTATCGCTCCAGCCCACTCATAATAATAAAATACAGAAAAACCCTTTACTAACTTGGCAAGAGTATTGGGGTCATATGGGGGAAGATTTAAATAAACACTGGAAATGTGTATCCTATTTCTTTTCAAATAAAATTTTGTTTTTTTATGCAATTGATTTTCCTAAATTAGAGACATATTTGAAAGAACATGCAAATAATGGTAGGATAAATGTCAATTCAAATAATACGAGTGTTTTCAGTTGACATCAACATATGAGTCCATTTTAAGAGTTGCAAACAACAAAATAACATAATCTCATTCAATAATATTTTATTTTAACATTGATGAGATCAAAAATTATACCAATGAAAATAGAAGGAAAGGACACTATTTCAGGTCCTACTTTCATTATAAATAAGTCATTTCACTTTAAGTCACCTTTTTAAAGAATCTATGGAACATGCTAATGAAGATTCACTGTATATTCACTTGCATTTAAACATAACTCCTAGAAACTTTTTATTTTTAATTTTTAGAGCACATCTAACTGTACTAGTTTTTCAAACTTTAATATGCGTTAGAATCTGTTGGAGAGTCTAGCAAAATACAGACTGCTGGTTCTAACCTATGAATTATTCAATTAGACTGAGATGTAGAATCATGAATTTGGCTTTTTAGTAGTCACAAGTAATATTCCTGCTGCTTGTAGTTTTTACAAATTGAAAGCCAGCACATTAAGATAGCTTCAGTTTAATCCAATATTCTCCCCCAATTTTCTCCCAAATGTCCACCACCAACAAAATTTTCCTTACTATCACAATTCTTATTGATATTTAGTAAATATTTCTGCACAGCTTTAAAGGTTACTGGTGTTATTGATATGTAATTTCTTAAGTATTTCATTTTAAGACATTTTCTTTTTGGCTTTCTTCTGTGACAATCTCCTTTTTTGATATAGCAGTACTAAAATCAGTCAGTTATTAAATCTATACTCTTTGACACCATCTGTTTGCCAAGACATCTGCTATATGCTAGAAATGCAATAGTAAGCTGAATAGAAACATTTCTGGATCATTGTAGCACACCATTTATTTTCAAGGACCACCAATTAAATAATCACACAATGTATTCAGAAGGAAAAAGTATGTTTCTATGTGGGTAAAAAAGAGATGGTTCAAAATCAAGCTAGAAAATAAGAAACTTCCATGAAAAATAAAACTTAAAATGAAAAGCATTCTATTTCTAATGATTAATGCGTGATATCACAGCGGGTAGGGCGTTTGCCTTGCACGCAACCAACACGGCCAACCCGAGTTCGATTCCTCCGCTCCTCTTAGAGAGCCTGGCAAGCTACCGAGAGTATCTCGCCCACACGGCAAAGCCTGGCAAACTACCCATGATGTATTCGATATGCCAAACACAATAACAAGTCTCACAATGTTACTGGGCCCGCTCAAGAGAATCGATGAACAACGGGAGGACAGTGACAGTGACAATGCTTGAAAAAAGCATTCTATTTTCTAATGATATTCCACAACCCTTAGGCAATAGAAATCTTCTAGGTCAAGTAATATTTTTAAGATTTTTCATGGTGCATCTTAGAGAATGTTTCAATTCAGGGACTAGAGACATAGTACATTACTTCAGGCACTTAACCTTTTACATAACAGACAGGGATTTGACCCCTTGCAAATCATAAGTTCCCAAGATCACCAGTCATGATCCCTGAATGCAGAGACAGAAGCACGCCAGGAACACCACTAGGTGTGCACCAAAAACAACAAAATTTCAGTTGTTTTAATTCTGGTTTTTAATGGTTCAAATTAACTACCTTTCTTCCGTGAGCACAATGTACATTGTTCCCCTTAAAGGCAGCAAACATGAAAATTAACTTTTTCTTGGGGGAAAGGGGGGTCCAAGGAGATAGTCCAGAGGATTAGGTGCTAGCCTTGCGTATGGCTGAACCAGGTTCAATTCCCAGTACCACATAATTTTCCACTGAGGCTGAGCCATAAGTGATCCCTGAGCAACGATCCAACAGTGAACCCTGAGTACAACTGGGAGTGGAAAGAATAAAGAAATCTAACTTTGTTTTGATTGTCTGGATTGTTAGGCTGTTTTATATTTTCTCTATGTGGACATGGGCCCACACCTGGCTGGCATCAGGACTTACTCCTGGCTTTACACTCAGACACCACTCCTGGCAGGCTCCAGGTATGGGGTGTCAAGTATTGAATGTGGGTTGGCCTCATGCTCATCTTTTCTTTTTATATGACCTTGTACTCAGGTGAAAGGTGGGCAAGTATATAAGTTCTGAACATGTATAAACTGAGAATGATTTTATGAAAATATTGTAGTCCTAGTATTACAAAAGGAAAGAGACATTTTGACTCTATTGGGGTTGATATTTTTTCTTTCTTTCCTCCGTGATAATAAGTAACTAGCCTAACGTTTAAACGTAATTTTTTAAATTAATAAAGTAACTTTGATATGTAAAATATTTCATAAGATTGTTATTATAGAAAAATCTTCTAGTTTGATCATATAGTCTCTATATCATTGGACAATCTTCAAGATAGATAATATATGGATGGACATTTACTAGTTGAAAATTGCCCTAATACTTTGGTGACAAAAATCAAGTTTTTCTGAGAAATTGAGATCATTAATAACATAAAATGTGAATGATATACTCTAAGATATCTACCTTAAAATGGATTTTGGAGTGGCCTGGAGAGACAGTAGGGTACTTGCCTTGCATGAGTTCTTTTTGGATTCCATCCCGGCATCCATAATGCTCCCCCGAGGACAGCCAGGATTGTAATTCATGAGTGCAGAACCAGGAATAAACCATTAAGATTGCCAGGTGTAAACCAATAACAAAAGAAACAGATTTTCTTTGGCAGTAAATAAAATTTGAGGGAAATATGCAAGATTCAATTGGCAGTTCCCCTCTTGCAATTGTAGTTTGCCACTATCTTGAGTAAAAATAACTTATAAATTAAATGTAAAATAAAACAAAAATAAAAGCTCAATTTAGTCTTAATTTTTAACTATAAATTATTTTCAGATCTACAGGGCCTCCCCGAAATCCCACGTATGGTTAACTAACCCTTGGTGTGGTGCCTACTTTGTCTCCTTCAACTCTTTGGATTTACCTAGCAATTAATTTCACAAACTTGAAATATTCTCAAAGACCAGAAAGTTGAACAGTCTTTGCAGTATTGTAATCTCTAAACATCACATACAATTCAAATCATGTGGACTAAAATTCTCCAGAAATTTTCAGAGAATTACCTTCTAATTCTTTATACTTTTCTGATTTTCCTGAAGATGGTGATGGAGTTATGTGCAGCAGGCTCGGTCACTGACGTAGTGAGAATGACCAGAAATCAAAGCTTAAAAGAAGACTGGATTGCTTATATCTGCCGAGAAATCCTTCAGGTGAGTTACAAGTCTCAAAATGGAGACATTACTGGGCCCACTCGAGCAAATCGACGAACAACGGGAGGACAGTGCTACAGACAGTGAGTTTTAGTATCGTCATTCTCCCTGACCTGAAAATTTCTTGAAGGGCTGTGTGCATGTGTGTGTGGTGTGTGTGCATATATGTATTTATGTAAATTCTTTGTCATGTATGTCTGCTCATTAACAGCATTTTAACCTTTGAATCAGGAGAGCAGAAAGACCAAAAGCTATAGAGGGAGTTTTCATGTAATTTTTTGAAATTCTTATATATACTACAATATGGGTAAAAAAAGGTCCTTTTAAATCACAACTTTTAAAGTCAGAGTGTTGTGTTCAATAGTGTATGAATACGATTACTGAGTAATTATTGTGTTAATGATTTTCAGAGTTCCTAATAATATTATTTCAATGTCATTAGAAATTAAGTTGCATGTGAGGTAGACACAAGTGTTTCACTGAAGGATACCAAACTATCTTCAACTACTTTGCAAAAACCATTTGAAAAATGCCCTACATAAATGATTTCTTTATGTTAAACGAGTTTTCATTTGTGGATTTAGTACTTACCTAATAATTAAAGAATTGAGCAGCACTGCCAATACAGCGTCATTCGTCCTATCTTGGTTGGGTCTGATTCTCTTAATAGTGTAAACAGTTTAGACCACAAAATCTGGCGTGATATTACATTTTTATATAATATCATGCCTGTGATTCTCATCAGTTACATGATTTTACATACCTAATTTTCCTCATTTTTAGTAAGGGGTGATTAGTAGATTGATTGGAGAGTTGCTATTATGATATAATGTCTTACTTTAGGGGCCAAAGCCAGAAGTGCTCAGTGTCTATTCCTGGCTCTGTGCTCAGGGATCACTTTTGGCTACGCTCAGGTGCTGGGATTTGAGCCAGATTTGGCAGCATGAAAGTCAAATGCCCAACACACTGCACTATGGTTCCAACACCAAGATATAAAAATCTATTTCATGTAAAGAGTTTAGCACTGTGCCTGGCAAATAATGACACAATAAATATCTATCTTTACTATTTCAGCTTTGTAAAGTTTAGGATTATTTACTTCTACTTCTTTTATTTTTTTCATCTTGGTGGTTTTTGGCCATACACAGTGGTAATCAAGGCTTATCCCTGGGTTATTGCTCAGGAGTGACTCTTGATGGTGCTTAGAGCGCTGTTTATGGTTCTGAGCATTCAAGCCTGGGTTATTGGGATGCAAGGCAGACACTCTAATCCCTGTATTATTTCTCTGACCCTACTTCTACTATTATCTCTTCTAATTGGAACAATGCCACTGAAGTCAGTCTATGGATTAGTCAGGTCACTGATTAATCTTAGCAGTGAATGAGGCAGGATCCAGGATAGTAAACCAGTACAAATTTGGAGTGATTTAAAATTAATTTCCATATTTTATCAACTTCTCAGCCTACAAGGTTGATTAGAAAATATTTTGGACTCAACAAATGGTTGGATGAGAAACAAAGCAGAACAGTGACTGAACAATATATTTAAGATGTCCAGGTCTTTATTCTATGGTTAACTGGAAATATGAAGAAATATGGAGAGTAGAAAAGAAAGGATTGGCCCAGTGTCTACAAACATTGCTCTTTGGTGCTTTTTTTCCATGGGAATCCTGATTTATTTTCCTTCACTTATAGCCAAAAGTACTGTTTCTAGGAACTGTTTGTCGTAATTCCAGTTAAAACAAAGAATTTAGTCTGAAAAATCAAATCTGGGTTATTTTTCTTACAAAAAAGATTTTTTTTCATGAACACTAAGAACAGTATTAGAAGTTAAAAACATAGATTTAAGATACTATGTATGTGTAATCTTTTGGCAGGGCTTAGCTCATCTTCATGCACATCGTGTAATTCACCGGGACATTAAAGGCCAGAATGTGCTACTCACTCATAATGCTGAAGTAAAACTAGGTAAGCTTTTCCATGCCTTACTTTGAGTCTGAGGTATCTTAATGAAGATTATTACTTTCATGTAACTGGTTTCTATCATGCCACTAATATTATCACTGATTTAAGTTATCTCACCACATGCAGAAATTGTCATAAATTGAAAGCATGTTTAGAAATAGAGGTGGAAATAGAGCAAGTTCAACATGCTTCCTTTAAAACATGTAGATAAAAAAGATTTTCAATTATGTTTAGACGCATTTTATCCTATGTAATACTAAATTTAATTGAATATTTATCATATGCAAACTCCCATACCATTAATAGCGTTTAAGAAATTTTCCAGGTGCTTAAGAGTTAGTAAAGCAAACAAAGCAATTGCAATGCATGTGGCTAACCTGGTTCAAACCTGGGCACTGTATTTGGTCCCCCTAACACTGCCAGAAGTGTATCCTGATCACTAAGCCAGAAGTAAGCCCTGAGCACTGCTGGGTATGACCACCTGAACCCAAAAAATAAAATATCTCACACATGAGAGATACCTTTTACAAAGAAAACTAAAGGACTGTTAAAGTACTTAATCACAAATTACTTATTTGGAATATTTTCTCAAATTTAAATAAATATTATCAGTAAGAAATTATGTACTTGTAATGTGAAATCAAATTACCAGGTAGTCCCTTATTTTGTATTACAAGGTTTAGAATGACATAATTTATTTGAATATCCTAACATATTATCTCATAAGAGAATAAGTAGGTCACTTCCTTTTTTGTCAAAAGGACTGTTGTTTTGTTTACATAATACCATATGAATGACAGTGCTATATAATAGGAAATAATGCATTTTTTAAAAATTGTATTGATAAGTTTTTCATTTTCACTGATAAATTCAACCAGAATAGAGAATTTTCTCATTCACTAAGAAGTTGAACAATTTCTTCTCAAAATAAGTGAAAAGCCATTACAAATAGATATTGAAATACTGTGCTAAATATATCAAAGATTGGTAGCTCTCATATTTAACTGTGTAGTATAGGTAGTTTGGTATAAAACTACATTGTACATTGTTTATGAGGCAGGATTCCCATATACTTAAGTCAAGTTACTGATCAAGCCTACTATTTATAATTCAGAAGGGAAATTATTTGTGAAAAATCACTGAAAAATTGGTAAAAAATCCATGCATTAAAGCTCATTTACTTTACTCTGTAGAAGCTAACTTTTAACACCGAAATTAGACTTATTTTACACCCTTTTCTTGTGGGCGATGCGGTGGTACACTCAGTTGTGTTGAAGATTTCTTCCTAACTTTGTGCTCAGGAGAGATTCTTGGCAGTGTTTGGAGAACCACATACGGTTTGGGGGAACCAAAGTGGGTCAGCGTGATCCAAGGCAAATACCTTAACATCTCTACTATCTATTCAGCTCCTGCACAAAATTATTTTTTACTTGGTGAGATAGGAAAATTATTGTATTGCAACTATATTTGGTCATTACTCTGTGTATTTTCTTCCCAGACAATAAGGGGAAAGTTTGTACTACCACTGAACTTTATTTTCTCTAATTTCATCTTTTCTATTTATTTTGATTATCACTATTTCTTAAAATATTTGCATTTTTCCACTTCTTCTCTGGTAGTCATAAATAAAAGTGTGTCTGTAATAAGTGTTTTTGGCAATTAAAATTGGTCCTAGATAATGAGATTGTTTAACACCCAATGGTAATTTTCACTTATAGTCAAACATGTTTTGTTCTTTCTAGATGCTCCCCTGAAGACTGTCTTAAATTCTTATTTTTTCTTATCCTTTTCTCTTTAACATTCTTTAAATTATTTTTCAGTGTTATTCTCCATCCTTTCCAGGAAACCATTCTAAATTATAAAATCAACCTCATTTTTCATTCCTGTCTTATTTTTTCTGGACTAAACAAATCATCTACTTTAGCCATTATTCTGTCTGTTTCTGAGGATACAATATTAAATATTTTCATATAATGAATCCCACAGATGAATAGAAGACATTTTTAGTGTAAGCTAAGATTGAATACCATAGTATATATTTGTATCTGATTCAGAAGTTTTACAGACTTAATCTATATTCTACCAGGAAAAATACAATGTGATACAAATTTCTAAGGTCATGAGTAAGCTTACTATACTGCTAGTAGATTTCAGATACAACTTTTATTGCATTTCTTCTTTGAACTTTGTGGCAGGTCCAAAAACTACATATGTTATCATTTCAGAGACTCAGGGTATACTGATGGAATTTTATTTTTAGTATTAATGGTAAACATTTAGCCAAACCTACTGTAGATTTATAATTGTTATCCTGAGTCTCTTTCCAACATAAATAGCAGTGAAATTGTACTTCCCAGTTTTTCTTGAGTAGACTTCATGGTAAAGTTTTCTGAGCTGGAATAAAAATCTGTTATCCATTGTAGCATTTGTATTGGCTTTCCAAGTTAAAGTAATAACTTATTGAGCTCTTTGTTACAAAATAATTATTTGCCTATGCTGATTTTCACAGTGGATTTTGGAGTTAGTGCCCAGGTAAGCAGAACTAATGGAAGAAGAAATAGCTTCATTGGGACACCATACTGGATGGCACCTGAGGTGATTGACTGTGATGAGGATCCAAGACGCTCCTATGATTACAGAGTAAGTGTGAGCATTTAGAGTGAGTGGGAATAAAACTTTGGAAAGGACTCTTGATGACTACAGATTTCTAGTGATAAAAATAAAAGGTTAAAAATTAAGTAGATTATCTTTTAATGGGCTGGAGTGATAGCACAGCGGGTAGGGCATTTGCCTTGCATGTAACCAACGTGGCCGACCGAGTTCGATTCCTCCGCCCCTCTCGGAGAGCCCGGCAAGCTACTGAGAGTATCTCGCCTGCATGGCAAACCCTGGCAATCTACCCGTGATGTATTCGATATGCCAAACACAGTAACAAGTCTCACGATGGAGACATTACTGGGCCTGCTCAAGCAAATCGATGAACAACAGGAGGACAGTGATAGTGACAGTAATCTTTTAATATTAAACACTAATAGAAAATACTACCTACAATTCCTATAATTAGCTTGGTTACATGTGTACATTTTTAATATTGTAGTAATAAATAGCACTATTTTAAATGTTGGTACTATACCCAGCTGTGTTTGGGGTTTAATTCTGGCTCTTTGCTTAGGGATCACTCCTAGTAGTCTTGGAGGATCATACGGAGTTTGGGGATGAACCTCTGTCAGCCCCGGGCAAGGATTCACACTGCCCTCTCTCCAGCCCCAAAGCAATATTTTCTAATAATTTACACAAAGTAGAGTTAGCCATATTTGAGGAATCTAATTCATTGTTCTTATAACTTTTTGATACTATTATTATATTGCATATGAAAATTTAACTTCCAGTGGCTGAGGGCTTTGTAAATTTTAAAATAAGTAAATGCAAGGCCAATTATTAATCCCCATAGTATCATAGCTCCAGAAAGAAAAATAAGTTGATTACTTGGGATAAAAAAATCTTTGGCATAGTTAACCTCTAAACCACACAAAATGTCAGTGGAATCGACAAATTAACATTCATAATATTTATTAAAATTTCCACTGAATCTGCAATTTGGACTGTGTGCATATACAGTACATTTTTTCAAAAAGCTGCTATGGAAAGAAATCTCTCCAGTTGCTATAGACTAGAAAAACCACAGTTGCTCTCAACTCATAACTCATCCAAACAATTCATTGTGGTTTAACTGTGTGGATTCTAGGACTCAAAGTTGAAGTTGATTGATTTAACGTTCATCTCTTTTCCCTTTCCTTAAATACTTTCAACATGATCTTCAAAAAGATCTATTTAAAACGTATTATAGTCCAGTATAATTAGGATTCATAGAGATTATGGAAGAATGATGTTTGTTGAATGAATTTCTGCAAAAACAGTGATTTTAGGCTGTAAAACTGTTTTTGTCTTCCATGAAATTTCACCCACATTAGTATTTTATTTTTTTAAATCTATGTAATTGAAAATTTAAACAAACCATCACAACTCTGATTCTAAGAGATCTACAAGCTTGGATTACTAAAAATTCAACTTAATTATTCATTTTATTTATTTTTTTAATTGAATCACCTTGAGATACAGATTTACAAGGCTTCATGATAGGGTTTCAGTCATACAATGTTTCAACATCCAATCCTCCACCACTGTATATTTCCCACCACCAATGTCCCCAATTTCCCTTCCACGACCCTCTCCACCACCCAGCCTGTCTCTACGGCTAGCACTTTCCTTTTTTTCTATGTCTGTCTCCTCTTGAGCTTAATGGCTTGCAATACAGATATTGAGAGGTTATCATGATTGTTCCTTTCCTTATTTCATCAGACATTTCTTATCCAGACTGGTCATTTCCAACTTGGAAGCCTGCTTCAAGTGCTTAGGTAGAAGGCAGTTAGGGTACAGAAGTGATCACTCTGACAATGATAGTTGGAAATCAATTAAATTGTTTAATAATCATCTAGTCATGATTATTTCATGATTATAATCATCTAGTCAGATCCTTTACATCTAGCCCAGATCTCTTTTTACATTTTAAAGAACAATATTATAATACACTTGCAATGCAGTTGATAACAGTGAAGGCAAATTCATATAGTTTACTATAGTATGTGTGACTTATTTTTATGATGATAAATCATAATTGTATTGTCATAGTAACTGCAGAAAATGTACTATGTATTACTTCATGTAATACTTGTTACAGGTTTGTCAGGAGGCATCCACAATTATCTGTCACTTACACATGGAAACCTTGAGGTTCACAGAATTTAATTAATTACTTAAGATTGTGCATTTTGTACATCCTTGTTATGAGATTTCCTTACAGCACACTCTTGGTATTTTTGTAAAAGCAGCAATAGATATACTTTGAAAATAAAGATTATTTAAACTGAATTCCATCTCATAACAACCTGTTCAATGGTCCAATACTGGCTGGTCTAAAGTTCAGAAAGTGTTGTCTTCAGTATACCAGTCTGTAGCAAGATTCACTATAGAAAATCCATAAAATGTCTCTGGTACTGATTTCTTTCTTCAAACAAAGTTTCTTTTTATATTCTAAATAATGCCAGTTTCCTATTTTTACATATCTTTGATAAATTTTTTTCTTTCAGAGTGATGTGTGGTCTGTGGGAATCACTGCAATTGAAATGGCTGAAGGAGCTCCTCGTGAGTATAATTTCTTAATATCTGTTAAAGGTTAGAGAGATATGCTTTATAAATCTGTTTCTTTGGAACAGGAGATCTCCACTACTGCCACGCAGGTACCACACTATGTGCCAAACTATACGTGACTTCCTGTTCGGTAATTACCAAATAGTGTAGTGATAATGATGATATAAGTGCATAGAAAGAGTTTGTTATTGCTGGATTTTACTAATTTTCAGCTAATTATTGTTATAGCACAGCGGGTAGGGCGTCCGCCTTACAAGCGGCCAACATGGCCGACCCGAGTTCGATTCCTCCGCCCCTCTCGGAGAGCCCAGCAAGCTACCGAGAGTATTCGATATGCCAGACACAGTAACAACAAAGTCTCCAATGGAGACGTTACTGGGCCCGCTCGAGCAAATCGACGATCAACGGGAGGGCCTTTACCTTTACCTTTAACCTCAGTAGTATTTGTTTCTGACAGTCCCAACCAAGCAAGATCCAAAAGTGTTTCAGTAAATATTTGTAGAATGTAACATTTAGGTTCTGGAAGAGTTGCATACTGTTGGTATTACAGGTTTTTACAATTTATAAAATCTTCTAGTTGTCCATTGAAATTGAGCTAATATGCTGGTTGTTAGATAGTAAAAAAATGTTTGCTTCATTAGTCAGTCCTGTATCCCTTTGGTACTTTCTTTTTTTCCATTTAGTAATGTTAGTGCCATTAATTGTTCAAAAGTTTCCTCATGTTTCCTTAACCATTCTAATATTTAAATAACTCATCAATATTCTATTATTTTAAAAGCATTTTTTTCTGGGGCCAGAGCAATAACACAGCAGGTAGGGCGTTTACCTTACATAGCGTATTTTTCATAAATCTAGTTATATTAGTGATATATAGATTAGGTGAGAAGTAAAAAAAATGCCTGAAGTGTGTAAGGGTGGAGAAGGCAGAGTTGTTTTTCTCTCATCTTCTCCAAAAAGACACTATAGGTTCCCATATTCTTGCAAGCTTGCCTACACAGTATCCACCCACAAAGCTTTACACACTTGGGTTATATTGGCCCTATATTTCAAGGTCAATGGGAATAATTTTTAAAAGGATAATTTGTAGTGAGAAAATTGTCGATAATTCATAGTGACAATGAGTTATTTTTAATTATATATAGTTTTATCTTTTGTTTTATGGTCTGGAGCGATAGCACAGTGGGTAGGGCATTTGCCTTGCATGCAGCCAACCTGGCCGACCTGAGTTCGATTCCTCCGCCCCTCTCGAAGAGCCTGGCAAGCTACCAAGAGTATCTCATTCGCAAGGCAGAGCCTAGCAAGTTCCCTGTGTGGTATTTAATATGCCAAACACAGTAACAACAAGTATCACAATGTTACTGGGCCCACTGGAGCAAATCGATGAACAATGGGAGGACAGTGACAGTGTTTTTATATTTTCATTGAGATTTTTTGGTAATAATGGTTTCTCATACACACAATTCCAACACCATACCTATCAGGAGTGTACCTCTACCCTCGCAATCTTGGATTATCTATCTGCTGATGGGGCTGAATTTAAAAGTGGGACAAATATGGATGTCAGCTGCTGCTGATTGCAATCTTTAGTACTCTAAATTACAAAGTATCTATGTTGGATGAGTATAATAAAATTATGGTTAAATTGTGTATATAGCATATATAAAATTGAAATGATATTGGGGAGATAGATATTGTTCCTGACCATTTCTTTATTTTCTATGGGCAATGTTCTTAGTCTCTGAGATTGCCACTTACTGCTGCTGCTACGTCTTTTTCCTATTTTTATATATATGGTGTTTTATATTAGTCTCAATGCTTATTTTTGTTTAGAATTAATTCCTACATTGATTAGTAATTTTTCTATTGTTTCTGAGCATTCCATACTATGACTTAAAAATATTTTTCAAATTTGTACTTTTTGATTTACTTTTTGTTTAATTTTTGCATTTTTAACTATTTAGTGCTGGGTGAAAAACAATGTAATGAGCAAACTGACAGACTCTATGAAGAAAGAGAATTTCAGAGTATATGAATATCAATATTCTTGAAAAATAAGGTTACAAACCAACAGATTCTTTTTAATGTTCAATACTAGGGATAAAACTCAGAGTCTCACATGGTCATGTCCTCTGCCCACGAGCCATAATCAAGTCCTTGAAATTCTGAATTCACATTGAGATAAAATAGAGCAATCCTGCATAAGTAACTGAAATGTTGCAACTTTGGTTATGAAAAATGTAGCCTTCTAAAATATTTATCTTTCACAACCTATTTCTATTGTCATTGTCTGAAATACTAACAGAAATACCCCAGATTATGATAATTATCTCTGAGGAGATTACCTTCTAAGATGCCCATCAGATGATCATTGCTTCTGAGATTCAGGCAATAAAATCTTCTCCCCTGGAGAAGTAAAAAGAGACGAATAATAACTTTTCCCTGACGGTTGTTGTAGGGTATCTCAGTGAATGAAGCTGTGAACTAAAGGCCAGAGAGATAGTACAGTGAATAGGGCACCTTCCTTATTTAAACTAATTCAGATTATTCCGGGTTTAATATTTCTAATCTATGAGGAGTTAGATTCATAAAAAAAGATTTGTTGTTTCAAAGGAGTAGAAACCATGTTGAAAAGTTGGGTTGTGTTAAGAGATAGAGTAAAGAGCACCTTTATTGCTATGCCTGAAGTTAGAACATGAAGGAAACCAACACAGTTGCTGTCTGACAAAATTTTTGTACCTATTGTATACCCCATTCTTTTGTGGGCTGTTCCTTTTTCCTTTTTAAACTTGGTCTACTTCATCTTGAGTCCTTAGGATGTTGTTTATTTACTGAATGCTCAGATGTGAATTAATGACAACTGGTTAATATTGTATAAACTTACAATGTATTTAAAGATTAAACCTTTTAAATGGGCACAGTGATGAAACGAAGAGTCAGATATAGTACTGATCTTTTGAGTTTGGGAACGATACTGCCCTGTTATAAAACGGAACAGTTCAGTAATTTATACCTATGTAACTGAAACAAAACCTTGACCTTTTAGTAATAGACTTTATATAACTCTAATAAATCACGCTGGGAAAATTTTCTTCATTTGTATTTCAATTTATTACTTGCTAGACACTAGAGAAGCATTTGGGGCTAGTATGACTCTAAATGTCATTAACATCAAACTGCCCTTATCTAAATATAATATCAAACTGTCCTCACATGTAATGTTAAAGGAAGTTTATACTATAGCTCTCCATTGGCGAATTTTTGCACTATGAGTTTTCTTTAATAATTAGAGGAAATGAGTTAGGTGAAACACATATTTAAACGTTTATTTTAAAAAGCTCAGAATTCCAAACCATTGACAAGTATTTATACAGTACCTATTGGAATGGGCTTTTTTGATATGGAGATATGAGTGAAAAAGAGAACAGCAGACTAGTTATTTGGTATCAGAATTAAAAAATATAAAAAGCTAATTGTATTATCTACTCTGTGCCAGACATTCCTGCATGTAGATTATTATTTAATCCTCATGACAATAGCATTTCTTCATGGGAATTCATATTTTTCCATTTTTATATAAAGAAAATTAGGTATAGTCACAAAGAATTTAACTCAGGTGATCTCATTCTAGAGGATATGTACTTAACAATTAGGTATACCATAGCTACCTCTTTTACTAGAACTCTCAGCTTGCAAAGAGACGCCTACAATACAAAATACAGAAGAGCACTAAGCAGATTAGTGCTTTTCTCGACTTTGTTTGCATTCTTAGATATAAATTATCAGTAATATTAAAAAATATTTTTGGTCTTTATGCCATGCTCAGCAGTGCTTTGAGGAGGGTATGCTAGACTCAGTACTTAGGGCTAGTTCTTTATGATGCTTGGGAGTGAGACCATGTGGAACTAGGGATCAAACCCCTGCCTTCTGCATGCAAAATATGCACTCAGTTCATTGACCATTTTCTCCTACCCCAGTGTTTCAAAAACTGATCGAAAGTAAAACTGATTAGTTATATTAAAGCAACTAATTCAATCTTTGTATTAAAATAAAATTTTCTTCTATATGCATTCTTTTGTTTCAAGTTAATCCTTTCTATCTATTCCACATGACATGAAGAAACAGAATCCCTTCTGCAGTGTAAACTAGGCTCTGAAGTGATTTTTCTTGTCGATCTTGAATGTGTCTATTTCCCTTTGCAGCTTTGTGTAACCTTCAGCCCTTGGAAGCCCTCTTCGTGATTTTGCGAGAATCTGCTCCCAAAGTCAAATCCAGTGGATGGTAATAACATTTAGTTTCTTAGTTACATTAGCTTGAAATATTTATCTGGCAAAGGAAAACTCATTTGGTTCTTATAATTTGTTTGGTTAACCTTTTTCGAGTGACATTTCCTAAGAAAGCAATACATCTAAGTAACTAGTTTGCCTAAGATCTATTAACTAAATATTACTAGTCCTATCCATGTTATATTATGATGACACTATTGTTCTGCGATTAATAAACTATTGTACTATCCCATTAAGCTTTAGAAGAAAAACTTCTCAAAGATAATTGGCCTCTAAAACACACTGAGGTGTGGAGACATATCTTCTGCTCTAGGTTTTTTTGTAGAACTATTTCCTAGGGAATGGTATGTATTAAATGAGACATTTATGAAGTCTCTCACTATGGCTAGAGACCTCATAATGGTTGGTCGTCATTATGATGTGAACCCCAGTTTTCTTGTCCATTAAATACCCTTGGACTTAATGCAGAGGACTTGTTCCTTCTGGGTGCTATACACAAAGCAAACTTGGGAAACCTTCTCTCTAAAGCTTAATTCAATTTTTATATTAAAATGAGATTTTATATTTGTATTACAATGATATGGTACTGTAGCATCTTGCATAATATTAGTGATGGCTACTTACTCTGGTAAAAATGACAAATTTTCTTGCTGACATTCCACTAATGATACATTTTAACTATACAGTTTGAGACTTTCTGGGCACATCATTTTTTAAAATGAACCATCCTATGATATTAGTTATTCCTGGTACTATTATCAAACTTTTCGGGGATTTACCCCTGTATCTTTGTCTCTCAAAGCACATGAAACATTTGTAATTCAAAGTATGATCCTTGTAGGATGAACTATTTTGTTCTATGATTAACATTTGTAATATAAGTTACTTAATTGCCAACTTACTACCTGACTTTTACCACATATATGCTCCCAATATCATTGAAGTATTCCGTTACTTGTTTGGGTAGAAATTGTCATTGACTCTGGTCTCTCCTGAGGCTTGATTTGTGTTACTGTGTGAGGCATACTGTAAAACTGTAAGATATTTGGAAATTTGAAAGTTGTTTATATCTAGAGATAACTATCCAAAATTATGATCTTCAGAACAGTATTTAGGTGGAAGTTGGAGAAACTGTGGTAAGCCTGAAAATGCTTCTATCTCTTCGACTTTTTTAGGTCTCGCAAGTTCCACAACTTCATGGAAAAGTGCATGATAAAAAATTTCCTGTTTCGTCCTACTTCTGCAAACATGCTTCGTCATCCATTTGTTCAAAATATAAAAAATGAAGGACATGTTGTTGAGTCATTAAAGAAGCATCTTACTGGAATTATAAAAAAGAGACAGAAAAAAGGTAGAATCTATGAATTCGAATATTCAGATGACAGTAGAATTCAATATTTTTTTCAAGAAAGTAACAATTGTTTACTAATTAGGCGGAAAACAAAAGATTCTGAGGATTTTGTACTGTTTTTCTACTAAGAATAATGTTCATGTGCAGTTCTCCATCAAGCATCTATCTATCTATCTATCTATATATATATATACAAACATACATATGATTATAAATTGGTTCTGGTTATACACAGCAAGCATTCATATTAAAACTGAAATTCTAAGAAAATTTTAAGAAAAATTCTAACTAGAGAAATGAAATAAATAAAAATAAAAGCTAAATATATAGTCCTTTAGCTGATATTTTAATAAAACCCAATGGGATTTACAGATTTGTTTAATTTATTATTTGTTTTTCTATTTTTATTTTATTTTTATAAATTTATTTTGTATTGAATCACTGTGAGATATAGAGTTGCAAAGTTGTTCATGACTGAGTTTCAGTAATACATTGTTCCAACACCCATCCCTTCACCAATGCACATTTTCCCCACCAAGTCCGCAGTTTCCTTCCTGTCGTCCTCTCCCCACCTCCGACCCAACCCGCAGTCTGCCTCTATATTAGAAACTTCTCTATGTCAGTTTCTTTATCTCTGTCTCTGTCTTTCTTATTATTTTCCCTTTAGGCACTGTGATTTGCAATACTGTTACTGAAACAGTATCATGCATATTACCTTATCTCCTGTCAGCTCTCAGTTTTTGTTTGGAGTATTCATTTCCAGCTATCATTGTCATAGTGGTTCCTTCTCTGTCCTAACTGCATTTCCCTACCTGTTTGTGGCAAGCTTCCCACCATGGACCAGTCCTCCTGGCCTTGTTTCTTGTCTTTGGTCATTATTCACTTATTAGTCTTTTTTTTATATTCCACAAATGATTGTCCTCTCCCTTTGACTGATTTTATTCAGTATGATACTCACCATTTCCATCCATGTATAAGCAAATTTCATTTTTTCTTAACAGCTGCGTAGTATTTCATAGTATAGATGTTTCATGGTTTCTTTATTCACTCATCTGTTCTCGGGCACCTGGGTCTTTTCCAGATTCTGGTTAATGTGAATAGTGCTCAGTGAATATAGTAGTGCAGATGACTTTTCAGCATTTTGTTTTTGAGGGACTAGGGTATATTATCAGGAGCAGTATTGCTTGGTCATATGGAAGATCAAATTCTAGTGTCTTAGGAAAGTCCATATTGTTTCCAGAAAGGCTGAACCAATTGACATTCACACCAGCAGTTAATGAGAATACTTTTCTCTCTAAATCCACGCCAGCATTGTTTGTTTGTTTGTTTGTTTTTTGATGTGTACCACTCTTTGTGGCATGAGATCTCATTGTTTTGGTTTGCATCTCCCTGATAATTGGTGATTGCTAACTTTTTTATTATTTTAAGTAATATTGTTGTGATGTGCTCTTCACGAATTGTAAGATTTCATTAAGGAACTGACTTATGCAAGTAAGCTTTTATATATATATATATGTCAGAAATATCAGGAAGAATTTTTAGCAAATCATAGGAAATTAATTAGAGAAATTTTTAACATTTTAGGTTGTGTGGTATATCCCACATTTAATTTGTAGAGCCATAGGCATGTTGACAGTGAATATGGCGGAGTTACCTGGAAAAATGGTAGGCAGAGATAGCAGGATTAACTGTAGTGGACCTTTTATCTGCATGAGTTGATACATACCCTGTTTAGGAGTGGGATGCAAAGGAAATTATTTATTTAATCAACGTGGAAAGTACACTTGTTTGGCATAACCAGGGCTAGCCAGTCTCAAAGATGCAAAACTCAAAGAGGGATATGAACCCAAGCCATGAAATACTTATATCTAGAGCACACACCTTTAAGCCATCTTCACCATGGATCATCAACCAGAGTTTCCCTTATCCTTACTCTCTCTGCCTTTCTCATATCTCATTCTTTATAATTGTAGCAATCATATTTCTAGACTTTCTTTCCTATGCCCAGAAAATGTAGCATGTCTGAACAAGAACTATGCAAAAATGAGCCTAGGAACTAGAATACTAACTATGCATCATTAAACTAGTAATTTGAAGGGTTCCCTTTTTCTTGTCCTTATAAATTTACTCAGTGTCCTGAGCATTAAAGTGTACAAATTGATTGAAGCATCTTATCTTTATCTGTGCTGATGGTTATGCGTTATGTTTTCTCTCTCATAACAAGGAATGCCTCTGGTCTGTGAAAAGGAAGAAGCTATTAAGGAACAGTACACAGTGAGAAGATTCAGGTAAGATAAAAATTAAACATATAATTTGATTTTAGCAAATCAAATAATGCAATTGACTTCATACTGTTACATTTGGTTGAAAAAAATTTGTGTCAGATACAATAATAGTACTTTTCAAGGGATAATGTGTGGAAATATTGTGAAATTTTTCCATTAGTACTCAAAGAATTCTTATTATCTGACATTAGAGTGATAGAGTAAATGATAAGACCTTTAATATTGAATATATTAGAAATACAAAGAATATTATTGATATTGCATGAAAACTTCATGAAAGATGCACTGAAACATATTTTATGTAGAAAAAATACTTATTTTCAAATAAAATAATTTTCTATTCAAAACTTTACACCACTGGCAATTATTACCACATGACAATTACTTATATGTTTATGTTTAGAGGACCTTCTTGTACTCATGAACTTCTGAGACTTCCAACCAGTAGTCGGTGCAGACCACTTAGAGTCCTGCGTGGAGAGCCCTCACAGCCAAGGTGGTTACCTGATGGAGATGAACGACAGGTTCAGGCATTTCACCATCTGCAGGGAGCAGCCAGGGTGTTCATGCCAATAAAGGCTCAGAGCACTGACCCTAAGCCTTTACAGGGGAAACCTCGTGCACCTCGGCGACTACACGGGGCAGCAGCTCAGGTGCTCATGCCTCTTCAGCCTCACATGAAGGCTAAGTCATCTAAGCCCATGCAGCTTAGGCCACCTCCACGTCTACATAGGGCAGCCAAGAGGTTCAGACCACTACAAGCTCAGTTTAAGGTGCCCAGGCCTCTTCCTGTGCAGCCCCAGGTACCCAAAGAGCAGCAGGTTCAGGCCCAGACCCAGAAGTCAGAGAAGCCACAGGATCTGGACCAGGTACCAGAGGAATTTCAGGGGCAAAATCAGCCACCTGACCAACAGCAAAGGCAAGGCCAGGAAGCTGAACAACGGCAGAGGCAGAACCAGGTTCCTGAAGAACAGATGGCACCAAGTCAGGCGCCACAACAACCAGAGGTACAGCAGCAGGCTTCTGGGCCTGCCCAGGCAGATGCAGGGGCACAGGCACCTGAATCCTTAAAAGTTCATGCCCAGGTGTGCCTGCCTCTACTGTCACAGAACCATCATGTGCTGTTACCACTACATTTGGACACTCAGGTGCTCGTTCCAGTAGAGGGGAAAACAGAAAGATCACCTCAGGCACAAGCCTGGGCATTAGAACCCCCACAGGCAGTTGGCCCAGTTCAAGCACTGGTAGAAGGATTATCAGGTGATTTACTTCGAGCGCCAGACTCAAAGAACTCAAAGCCGCTTGGTCGACTACAAACCCTGATGGAAAATCTGTCATCAAACACATTTTACTCTAAACCAGAACAGGTACAGAAGAAAAAATCAAGAGTATTTAGCCTAAAGCAGGCATTGACAAAAACACTATCACCAAAACGCTTCCGGGCAAAGTTTACACAGAAGTCTGAAGAGTTTGAGCTGTCAGATTTAGAAGCCCGAAGACAAAGGCGCCAGCGCAGATGGGAGGATATCTTTAACCAACATGAGGAAGAATTGAGACAAGCTGCAAATGTAAGAGTTTGTGTTATACTTGCTGAGTCAAATACAAATAAATTGACAAAATATAGTGATGTTTTCTCTTTCTAAAATCAAATGGAACAGATATTACTTGTGACCCAAAGAAGATTGTCTAATTTGTCTTTCCTTGAAAGCACACCCAATTTTTTAAAGAATTGAGACCAAATTTAAGAAAATAAAACACCTGCTTGAGGTGATCCATAAATGACTTGATATTTCTATAGCAATATCAATTAGTTATCAGTTTGCTACCTGTTATTCTAACAGCTAATATAGAATACTATATATTTTCTTTAAAATTTCTTTAATCATCAAAATTTTAATATAATTTTAGAAAACATCAAAATATTTTTGTCTTTCTACTCTCATTTCCCTGATCCCTTTTTATCATAGCATAATGAACGGTACTAATTGAGTTGTATTGCATAATTTCTTTACTTCAGAATATCGAAGCCAATAGTGAAGTGAGAAGAAAAAGTAGAGTATCTTGTAAAACACATTGTACCAGATGCATGATTTATATTGTTAATTTTATAGCCATTTTGCCTAATGATATAACTGCATAGAGCATTACACAAGTGAGAGATTAATCTCTTGATATAGGAAATGTAATATATCAATCTTTTTCTTGAACTATTTAATAAAAATCTATTATTTCAAAATTCTGTAAGTGATTATAATGTGGATGAAGTTGATTGATTCAATCGGGCAAACCCTAATATGACAATGAAGAGTTTGTGGGTGTGACAATCAAATTAATGTGGTCAATAAACTTAGAAGAGCAAATTTTTATAATACTTCACAGCATTCATTTACATAAAGTGAATCATTGTGAGCCTGATCTTGTATTCATCCACATTCATTAGGGAATCATTTGGCTTGTCCAAATTCAGCCAATTGAACATGCTATCTCCCTATTAAGTTTTACAAAATAGGATAAAATTTCAAGAGAATAAGGAATTAAAAGGAAAAATAAATATGTAGTCCATATAAAATAAAGGTTAAAAGAGGAGAAAAAGAAACAGAAAAGAAATGAGTCTAGAATGGTGTTATTTGCCTGAAATTGAGTTACCTGATTTGCTAATAACTATCTCCTAAAATTCTACCTAACGTTAAGATCTAATGGAGATTTTTTTCACTTCTGAAAATGACAAAAGATTTTGTTTTTATTTATCGCCATCAGATTAAGTATTAAAAGTAAGGAATGCAGTTGTCATTTGTTGTTTTAAATATATATGTGAAGAAACATTCTAAAATGAACAAGGTCAGGGGCCGGAGTGATAGCATAGCGGGTAGGGCGTTTGCTTTGCACGCAGCTGACCTGGGTTCAATCCCCGGCATCGCATATGGTCCCCCAAGCACCACCAGGAGTAATTCCTGAGTGCAGAGCCAGAAATAACCCCTGAGCATCGCTAGGTGTGACCCAAAAAGCAAAAAAAAAATGGACAAGGTCAAAATAATAGTCACAAATTCTGTTATCTAATATGTGTAAAGGTAAAGGTAAGGTAAAGGCCCTCCCGTTGATCGTCGATTTGCTCGAGCGGGCCCAGTAACGTCTCCATTGGAGACTTTGTTGTTACTGTGTTTGGCATATCGAATACTCTCGGTAGCTTGCCGGGCTCTCCGAGAGGGGCGGAGGAGTCGAACTCGGGTCGGCCATGTTGGCCGCTTGTAAGGCGAACGAGCTACCCGCAGTGCTATCGCTCCAGCCTAATATGTATAGGGATTAATATTTTTATGTGTAGCACATAAAGAAAACAAAGGGACAGGAAATTATTGATATTGTTATTGATATAAAAGTCATAGGTTTTTTTGATGTAGGAAGGTAAATAGGAAAAGACCCCATGGCAATAGAATTCCTAGGAAGTAATAACACTGATAGCCTCCAGGCAATTTATTATAATGTTAAGATTGGTTTGTGGTTCAACTCACCAGAAGAAAACTCTTTCCTATTACTCTTAAATATTGTTGATTCGCTTAAATTAAAAAAAAAAACAGAGGCTTTCTTAAACTTTTAGGACTTTCTAAACATTTGAGATTTATTTATTTATTTTATTGAGTCTCCATGAGATACAGTTACAAAGCTTTCATGATTGAGTTTCAGTCATACAATGTTCCAGCATCCGTTCTTCCATCAATGTATATTTCCTACCACCAATATCCTCTGAGATCTCACATTGCACGGGTATTGAAACATTGGGGTTGCAAGAGCTTACTCAAATATTATAATTTGAGTTTATCAGTTAGAAAATATGCTAGAGCAATAGCACAGTGGTAGGGTGTCTGCCTTGAGCGCAGCCAGCACGGCCGAACCTGGTTCGATTCCTCCGCCCCTTTTGGAGACCCGGCAAGCTACTGAGAGTAGCCCGCACGGCAAAGCCTGGCAAGCTACCTGTGATGTATTTGATATGCCAAACACACAAGTCTCACAATGGAGACTTTACTGGGCCCGCTCAAGCAAATTGATGAACGAAGAGGGACAGTGACAGTGACAGTTAAAAGGACTTTGGGAGAGAGATTCTTAGATCTAATAAATTAACACCTGAAGTTCAATAATCTTTATGACAGTATTTGTGGTAATTATGTGTACATCGAGTTTTCTAGAGAATATATAGAACTCTTCAGATTCTGAAAGTGATACAGAAACCAAAAACTGCTACAAAAATAGTTGTTAATGCCAATTTTACTACTTGAAAATTATTTAATTGTATATGATAATCATGCAATTAGTCCTGTAATTTGCTTTTAAACAAAATATTTAATTCTCTATTTGTTTCAAAGAACAAAGGAGATGAATCATCAGAAAACAATGAAGCATTTCGCTCAGTTCAGGCTGAAGTCCAAATAGAACCATTGCAGCCATATGTTCCAAATCCTAAAGGAAATGAAGTAAGTTCCCACTATGGGTTGCTGTGATATTCATAAGTGCCTAAGGAAAGTGAATCTAATTTTGTATGGTATATATTTATATGCTTAACACTGAATACCCTAGAAAACTGTCATTTACCTGTAATTTTAATTTCATATATAAAATATTAGTAATTTAAATATTGATCTTAAAAGTAATGAAAGTTATTTCATATGAGTAGTAAATAAAATTTTAATGAAGTAGAATTTTATTCATATAGAAAACAAAATAATTTGTATTATTTATAAATGTTTGGAAATATTGAAACATCTATATATATTACATATAGATGTCAGTAAAAATACATTTTTTAGAGAAAACAAATGGATTCTTACCTATTCATTGATTTTGGAAAGGAGGAATTTTACTTGTTATAATTGTTTATATTATAGTTTAAAAGTGCACAGACTCAGGGAGATAGCTGGCACTACATGGTTTCCTGAACAATTCCGGAAGCAAACTCTGACCACTAAAGGTAGAATAGTCTCCAAGTACTGCTGAGAGTGGCCCAGAAGGAAAGAAAGCAAGAAGGGAGGGGAAGGGATAGATAAGAAGCAATGGGAGATCAGGTCAAGGGTATTAGAGTAGATCATTGCTATATATATATATATATATATATATATATATATATATATGATATAAACAGTCATGCATATGATGACCAATGTGAATTAAAAATTTTAGTTTTTTAAGGGCTGGAGTGATAGCGCAGCTGGTAGGGCATTTCCTTGCAAGCGTCCAACGTGGCTGACCCGAGTTCAATTCCTACCCCCTCTCGGAGAGCCCGGCAAGCTACTGAGAGTATCTTGCCTGCAGAGAAAAGTCTGGCAAGCTACCCGTGACATATTTGAGATGCCAAACACAGTAACAATTGTCACAATGGAGACGTTACTGGACCTGCTCGAGCAAATCGCTGAACAATGGGAGGACAGTGACAGTGACAGTTTTTTAAGGAAGACTACTTTTATTATTGCTAAATGTATTAAATATTTACTTTAATTGACAGGCTTACCTCACAACAATTACTTTTATTTTGGAAAGGGAATCTCCCAAGCAATTCTTAGCAGGCCCTAGGGCCCCACTGGAGATTCTTTTTTTTTTTTTTCTTTATAGTGAATCACTGCGGGACACTGGAGATTCTTAACCAAACAGGCCTTTGGTTAGGAGCAAGAGTCCAAGGACAAAATGCTGGTCAGGACCTGAAGTGCCAGGAATACCGAGGCTGGACCACTCAGTTGGTGCCAGGGCCCTCCAGGGCTGCACCCAGCAACATTCAGTGAATCATGTGGTCCTGGGAATTGAGATGGGTTGAGCAACTTCCATGAATACGTCCTAATTGTTTACTGTCTCCAAGCCTCTGCTTTAATTTCTATTAGTTTCTTATTATTTAAAAAAGTTACGAATTTCATTTTAATTAAAAACATTTAATTATGAAATGTTGCTTTGCACAGAACAAAAGGGGAAAAAGCAATGTAAAAGACACAATAAAGCGAAGCAAGACAATAAAGCGAAGCAACACATGAAAGGGCATTATACAGAATATAAATACATATGACAGTAAAACATAGAAAGGATTGGGTTTACTTGATGCTATTGTGTTGTTTGTTTTCTGTTTTTAATATTTCTATTTTATTTTTCATTTATTTCAATCTGCATTCAGACCTACTTGATGATTTTTAACTAAATACCTTTCCAAATCAATTCCCTTAAGGACCAGAGAGATAGAAGAGTGGATAGGGTGCTTGCCTTGCATGTTGCTTATAGATTTTATCCCTGGCACTCCATTTGGTTCACTGAATAGCACCAGGAGTGATCCAGGAGTAATCCCTGAGCACTACCATGTGCAGTCCAAAAAGCAAAAAATTAAAAAAAAACAATTAACTTATAAATAAAAAATTGGTGTAATTCTAACTATTACAATACTTTGAAAGTTTCAAATAGAGAAGCATACTTATTTAAAGATAGAATACTTGTCTATTTAGGGATATTTGGGTCAGTTTGTGATTTATGTGATCACATCATATCTAGAATGTGATGCTAGATATTTTTTGATTTGATTATTTTTGTTTTATGGGGAAGAAGGCAGGTCACACCCAGCAGCGCTCAATGCTTCTTCCTGACGCTATACTTAGAGATCACTCCTGGTGTGCTGAGGGAACATATGTGGTACCAGGTAGTGAAACTGGGTTGGCGGCATGCAAGGGAAGCATGATACCTGATATACTATGTCTCAGGTTCTTCACTTGATTAGTTTGTAAAATCATTTTGAAAGCAATTTTCCCTTTCTGGGATGCATATTTCTCAATAATAAGATGACAGTATTTGCTTACATCACTGTATCACTGTCATCCTGTTGTTTATCAATTTCCTCAACCAGGCACCAGTAACGTCTCCTTCGTCCTAGCCCTGAGATTTTAGAAAGTGCCACATTCAAGGCTCTTTCAGTGTCAGGAGAATGAGACCCATCATTGTTACTGTTTTTTGGCATATTGAATACGCCATGGGGAGTTTGCCAGACTCTACCGTGTGGGCAGGATACTTTTGGTAGCCTGCCAGATTCTCCAGCGTAAGAATTAGATAATAAGATGTTGTGAGGCCGCAAATACGGCCACACGCTTCTGGGAGCTGGGTTTTATAGTCTCTGGGTCTTGTCTGTTGATGGAATTACACGGCCCCCGGGGCAGTTGGTGGGTGTAACACCTCCATACTGGAAGATGGGGGATCTGGGTGGAGGAGGCCCAGTCTCAATCCGAGCAGGGTTGGAGATCTGTGCACCAAGTCCTGCACACCTGGCTTCCTCTGCCAGAGGCTCGTCCGAATGTGTGGAGAGTGGTTTTAAGCATGGCTGTGGCTGGAACCGGAGGTCTTCAGCTGACGGGGCTCTGCTCGGCGTGGGGAGGGAAACTCAACCCACCCTCCTCCAAGGGGCCCGGGAGAGGAGAGCCAGGCGCAGAGGCAGGAGACTCTGCACTGTTCTCTTCCAAGAGCTGGATTTTATAGTCTCTGGGTCTTATCTGTTGATGGGATTACATGGCGCAGGGGGCAGTTGGTGGGTGTAAAATATGCTTACCTGGCTTCCAAAATTTGTCTTCATACTAAGATTTAAGAATATCAGAAACTATGATTAATAACTTTAAATGTTATGCAATATGTAATTATAGAAATACATTTTATAAATAAAATTTATTTCACTAGTTATTTTTGGGAATATATTTACATAAGATATTTTCTACAAATTAAAAATTCAAAAGAATTTACACTTTAGAGTACCACTAAAATAATTCACTATGTCTCTAAGGCCCAAGGGAAATCTTCATCAGTGCCTGGCAACCAGAATCGTGTGCACCGTGTCACATTCTCTCCAAGGTATGCCTCTCTCATTTATTTATTCAAATTATTCATGATTTACTATCATACTGAACATGGAAGATAATTTTACTTTAAGTCGAAACTAAAATATTAACGTGTTATTATCATCATTTATTTCATTGAACCACATTTAAAACCTAAGCTGCAGTAATCTGTTAACTAGACCTTTCAACATCAGTATTTTGTTTGATCATTAGCTAATAATGCACAGTTTATTAAATAAACATTGATGAATTATTTGGCAGTTTTTGCCTAGCCCATTGTCCACTGTCCACTGTCCTGCTGTCTCCATTGTGAGACTTACTGTGTTTGGCATATCGACTATATCACGTGGAGCTTGCCAGGCTCTACCGTGCGGGCAAAATACTCTCGGTAGCTTGCCAGACTCTCTGAGAGGGGACGAGGAATTGAACCTGGGTCACCCAGTCGGCTGTGTGCAAGGCAAATGCCCTGATGTGAAATTTCATATATATCATGTACTTAAACTTAAAATTATGTACTACATACTAAAACAAACACACATTCATGTATACACACAGAGACTGCCTCTACTCTCAGAGGCTAGTGCACTAAATTTGAAAATCAAAAATGACCGATAGGGATATTCAAAGCCAAAACTCATTTATATTATATTATATATCAGTTACTATACTTTAATATATGTACTATTGATAAATCCTAAGTACTTTTCACAGCTCATGTTTCATATTTTTAATGTTACATGCAATTTTATATAAAATCCAAAAATTAATATATGTATTTTTAAAATCATACTCCCTCCAATCCCAGTTCACAATTGAGAGAATTCAGCTCATATTCATTCACTCAGTCATGCATCAATATTTATTGACCATTTAGTATAGTCAATATACATGTTAGCATTAGCATTCCTAATTAACCATTTGAAAACATCAGAACTCTAGTAAAACTGAAAAGATAGATTTTGTACTTTATTGTTCCCTGCATTCCATTATTATGTTATCCTGGTTTATCTAAAAACAGGGGAGAAACTCACTTTGTTTATCTGTTTCTTAGAATCATTTAATAAATCAATCAATAAGGGTTATTAAAATCTAATAAGTGAAGATTAATCTTGATATTAAAACTTACGTATTTTTATACCTATAGCTGTAAATGTCTTAAATTTATGTATAAGTGAAGTTAATTTTAACAAAACTTGAATACTTTATGAAACTTGGGGCCATATAATATTTTGTCTGTCCTAAGCCTGCATCAATAAAGTTTTTCCAATTTTGAAATTCCAGAACTCCAAACTCAACAGCACTGACTCACAGCAGTGTTTAAATATTTTTTCAACTTGAATAGTAAGAGCTAAGTTATCCTTTTTATATAGCTATGTATCTACTTTTGGAAGAGAACATTCAAATATATGAATTTTGACTATTTAAATAAAAATGTTAATGCTGGAATAATAGATGAAACAATAGGAGCTTTCTAATCATGCTAAAATACTCTATAAAATTATGCTTATTGATGTAACTGAAGTATAATTATTTCTAAGTATTAGATTAAGGAAAGTGTGGTAATTTTGATAAATATTACATAGGAAGGAATCATATACTATATGAAAACATATTTACATAATTTGGAAATGCTTCTCTGGAAAAATAGCTTTGGGGTTACAAGGCAATTAGAAATACTACTTAAATCTCTAACTTTCAGTTTAATGTGAACACATATACTTGAAAAATTGTTATATATTTCCCTTATTAAAGTTGGACATGGTACATGATTTTCTCTTTTCATTAGTGTTTCTCAGGTATCTTTGGAGAGAGCTCAGAAGCCCATTGACATCAGACAAAAAACTTCTCAAAATCCTCAGAATTGTCCATCATCATCAGGTGATTCAAATTACAAACTTTAAACAGTCAAAACACATAATAACAATTTTAACAATTGATATTAAATCAGTATTAAAGAAGTCAAAAAAGAATGAATTTCAAGAAGTGATTTAAAATGTCAGAGGACAAATAAGCAAGAAAGTGAGGGTTTGACAATAGATCATCAATGGTTAACATTAAATATTAAATTTTTAAGAAATTTTTCTGAAATTTTTTTCAGTTGGAATGTATTAAGAAATGAGAGTAGAGATGAGGGGTATATCATTTAATTCTTATGCCATATGAGAAAAATATGGGAAAGAATAGACTTATCTCACAGGCTAGTATATATAGGGAATATTTGAAATATTACAGTAGTACATTAGTCTTTGTAGTAATGTATTTAATTAGTTCATTTCACCTTCATATTGAATAAATTTATAGAGTATTACATAAACATTTTAAATATTGTAAGTTATGTATATTTGTTTTAAAACAGTTTGGGTATTCGATCATTGTATAACTGAAACCCAAGCACAAAAATTTGTAAGTCTACAACTGTACCTCATGGTGTTTCACTAATAAAAATTTAAGAAAAAAAACACTTTTTTTTACAGTGAAGAAAATTCTTTGTAAATGTCCTAGAGAAGTATCTCTGTGTACCTTTGCAAGTATAAAGGGTAACATTCAGAAAAATAATACCACAAGTTGATGATTTTAATCAAAATTCATGAAAAACTATTAAAAATATATAAAATAACTTCACAAATTATTGTTATTGGTTTTGGGATATAGTTGATGCTCAAGACTTCTTCTGGTTTTGTGCTCAGGTATTACACTTGGTGGAATTCAGGGAACCATATAGGGGTATTGGGGGATTGAGCCAAAATATGACAAGTGTCTTGGTTCATAAAATCTGTTGCTATTTAATTTTAAATAATTTTAACCAATATTAAAACTAAACAAATTTACATTGTATTTTCTACTCATACAGAAATATTATCCTGTGAGAAATATGATAAACTTGAATGAAAAGTAATACTAGAAATCTACACCACCCAGTCTTTTTTTCTATTTTCTTAACTGGTACTTAATTTGCTGAAATTGAACAACCATCAAAAATTTAATGTCTTTAAAATATTTCCTGTTGGGAAAAAACTATTCTGTATTATACTCCAGAGAAGTTTCTGAGATATTCCATGACTAATCCAGTAAACAATAGAGAATCCTGAAATGAATTTGCCTTAAAACATATTTATTTTAATATTACATGAATAGACTTGAAAGTAAAATAGTTTCCTGGAAAAAAGATATTAAGTGATTAATTACAGCAGTGAGTGCCAGAAGATTCAGATACAAATCATAGGGTGTGTTCAATATGATACTAGGAAGATAGCACTGTTTGCAAATAGATGCTTTCTGAAACTTTGGTATCTATTCATTGATTTTATAAACAAAGTCTATAAATAAAAGAGGACTATTACTATCTTTCAAATCCAAGCACACAGTAACAGAGACCTTAGTGTCTAATTACCAAAGCTTTGTCTAATTCCACCGACCCAGAACTATTAGCTTTTGAACCTGATGAATGTACGTGTTGGCCTTTACCATCAAATTTAGACTTCCAATAAAAGAAAATTGCATATTTTATGAAAATAGATGGACCAAAGCAATAATATAGTGAATAGGGTGATGCCTTGTATATGTCTGGTACAGGTTCAATTCCAACACTACATATGGGCCTTTGAATCTGCTGGGAGTGAACCCTGAGCTCAAAGTCAGGAGTAAGCCCTGAGAAATGCTAGGTGTGCACCCCCAATGGAAATAGTTATGCTATGGAATTCAGTTGTGCATTATGATAGTAGATCGTCATATATAGCTAACAAAATTAAAACAAAAATGAAAACAGAATTAAAAAATCAAATCTTCGCACACATTTACCATATCTTAAATGCTTCGTAGACTTCTATGGCTAGTTGCTACCATCCTGGATAATTCAGATGAAATGTATTTCTATTAAAACAGAAAGTTCTGTTGCAGAACACCTCTGCTGAAACATATCTTGCTTTATAGAAAGGAATAAGTTTTGTATCATTTCAATTTGTCACTTCTCATTTATATTTAAATATTGGTAATATCTTTCAGTGGAATGTGGAGCATTAGTATTGTAAAAGGAACTCACCTCTTGAAAGTTTGCTTGATATGTCACCTTCTGATATACTCTTAACATTTTATTCTAGAAAGATAAGGAATCTCAGTGATGTCCCTCATCTCATCTCTTTTTATTATTGGTGCATTCTTTCATTTTTAAGAACCTACCTATAAATCTTTCCATGTATCTTCTTATGATAGAGGTGCTTAGTAAGTATGTACTCAATGTTGAAAACATATAAGTTGTGTAGGTCTCCAGAGGGAGGAAATCTTGAGCTTGCTACTAGAACACAGAGATTAAAGATTCTAGTCCCATAGTAATTTATCAGATGCTATTTTCTAAATAGAATCACAAGAGATACCATAAAAATTTCAATGGGATTGAATTTCTATACTATGTAAATCAGGGCAATGTATATGATCCCCACATTTATAATTGTATGTTTGGCATTCCGCAGAATCATCTGAAGAAGAGAGTCCAGTGACTAGGAGGAGATCCCAGTCATCACCACCTTATTCTACAATTGATCAGAAGTTGCTGATTGATGTCCATGTATGTTTCCGTCTTACCACATTTCTGTTCTTTCTTTTAAAATGTCAAGTTATTTTAATTATACATTTTTGTTTTCATGTGGGCCAATGGTAAAAGTTTATATTTAATGTAAGTGTTTTTTAAAAAAATCTTATACAGTTTCATTTCTATGTGGAAATATGACTAAGATACATAGAAATTAAATTTTATATGAAAAGTTTGTCATTCATAGTGAAATATTTTAACTATATATTCATTTATCAAAACATATTTGACAGAGTAAAGTAAGTAAGTAAAGGCCCTCCCGTTGATGATCGATTTGCTCGAGCGGGCCCAGTAACGTCTCCATTGGAGACTTTGTTGTTACTGTATCTGGCATATCGAATACTCTCGGTAGCTTGCCGGGCTCTCCGAGAGGGGCGGAGGAATCGAACTCGGGTCGGCCATGTTGGCTGCGTGCAAGGCAAACGCCCTACATAAAATTTACTTGCGGAAGCTAATTTCAAATTCATGAATAAAGGCTAGATACTCAATTTTTGTCTAATCTCCAATGAAGAGGCAGTTCACAGAAAAAGAAAACATTTAATGAAAAAATAAAATACCTCTGGTTGCATGCTTTTTAATATCTTAATACTTTTCTTTTTGGCTTCAAATCATTCCATTCTGCTTTTGTAATTATTCTTTCTGTACCATAAAAATATATGTCTTCCATATTGTTCAGAGTTTACTGTGCTGCTCATAACAACATAAGGGATGGTTTATATAAATATGCTTTTTAGAAATTTCTGAAACTTTAAAACAGTAAGTCTTTTTTAAAAAAAGTTAATTGAATCACAGTGAGATACAGAGTTGCAAAGTTGTTCATGATTGAGTTTCAGTTATACCAAAAACAATGTGTTTATGTGGCAGCAGTTGTGGAATGTGGGTGTGCTGATTGGGCTTCAGTAAGTATTGGGGCTTCATTCTGAGAAGACACCAGAGTTCTCAGTCTGGAAATTCTCAAGTACTTCAGATTTTTGTTTCCGGACCACGGAACCACATTTGTGCCCACATGACACCTCCAAATTCTATACTACATCCTAGTACAAGCACACAAAATCATATGGGAAATTAACATAGAAGCCAATTAGCTCCATAAACACAAACATTAACAGAGAAGTCTCAGCGAGCAACAAAATCTTAGTAAGCCCTCAGAAAAAGACTTAATGAGCTCACAGTGAAATAGAACAACTTCACAAATTTTCTTTTGCTGAAATATTGTTTTATAAATCCATTAGCTATTTACTTGTAGCAAGCAATATAAAATAAAGCATGTGCCTGCTAAAAAGGTAGGTGTGGGGGGATGGTAGGTAAAATGGGGACAAAATGAAGGGAAGGCAGTACTTTTGGAAGTGGTGTTAAAATATTGAGTGCCTATAATAAATGTATTCCAAACAACTTTTTAAACCACGGAATTTAAAGAAAGAGGTCACAGTCCTCCCATTGTTCATGGATTTGCTAGAGTGGGCCCAGTAACGTCTCCATCGTGAGACTTATTGTTACTGTGTTTGGCATATTGAATACGTCACGGGTAGCTTGCCAGGCTCTGCTGTGCAGGCGAGATACTCTCAGTAGCTTGCCGGGCTCTCTGAGAGGGGTGGAGGAATCGAACTTAGGTTGGCCATTTTGGCTCTGTGCAAGGCAAACGCCCTAGCCACTGTGCTATCACTCCAGTCCAATGAAAGAGGAAATTTTTAAAAAAGCACTAAGCGTTGCATTAAAATGGAGCTGGGAAATGAACATGTCAATTTTAAAAACTTACCTGTTAATCTTTATATTAAAAGATAAAACAAAAGGGGAAAGGGCCTTCTATATGGAGCACCAAAGTCATTTGTTCTAGTCTCTAGCATCAGATGCAATTAGCTGCTTCTAAAATAAGTCAGTCATTAAAGAAAGACACAGCATTTTTTCCTCATCATTTAGAAAGGCTTTTAATGATCACAGTGTAAATGTTAGGTTTTGATATCATATCTTCACACACACACACACAAAATGTTGGCTTTGTCTTCATTTCAAATGAAAATATATTTTAAATTATTGCCAGTTTGAAAACTTTCCAGCATAGGAGAAAATAAAAAGGATAATAGAAACTGCATTTACCTTTCTTATGCACACAGGTTCCAGACGGATTTAAAGTAGGAAAAATATCACCTCCCGTGTACTTGACAAATGAATGGGTAGGCTATAATGCACTCTCTGAAATCTTCCGGAGTGATTGGATAACTCCTGCTTCTGTCAATCAACAACCTGAAGAAGATGGTGATTATGTTGAACTATATGATGCATGTGCTGATACTGAATACGATGAGAATGATTCTAATGATGCCTATGAAGATAGTTACGACCATGGCAGTGACAAAGAACACATGGGATACCAAGTTAACCATGCAAATGGCTCTGTTGATGTCCGTGGTGATGATCACAAAAATGATACTGCTGATGATGAAGACAATCGTGATAATGCTCGTAACTGGCCAAGGTTGGTTTTCTGGAAGACTTTTGGTATCCATGTTTTATAATTTCATAACTGTTTGAATTTTTAGTTTATTTTAAATTTTGATTGTAAAAAACAAATTTTGGTTTAGTTTCTTGTATTGGGGGATTTTGGGGTGGAAGAAGGGATTTTGAGCCACATCTGGCTGTGCTAAAGTTTTGTCTTGGCTCCGTGCTCAGGGACCACTCCTGACAGTATTAAGGAACCATACTCAGTGCCAGGGTGTTTAAGCTGAAGTTGGTTATATGCAAGAAAAGTACCTTACTATTTGTTCTCTCTCAGGCCCAATTTTAATTAAGGCAAAATTTTAATTTAAATACTTTTAATACTAAACACTTGCCTTCATATTTTTGTGTACTGCATTTTGTTAGCATTCAAGTATTTATCAGGTACTTTAAAAGTGGAACTGCTTCTGTTTCTATTAAATTTTAATCCTGCTAAGTGAATTATCGAACCCTATAAACCACAATGTTTCAAAAGCATTGCAAGAAATTTAGCGAACAAATTAATGAATAGAAGTTGAAGCTGTTATTAAAGAATAAAATCTTCAAATTTTCTGAGAAAAATAAATTATAGAATTGACTCTCACTTGTCAGGTTTAAACTACAGTTTACTAACAGCATTGTTACTGAAACTCTGAAATGATTTCTAACTAATTTCAGTATTTATTCAATTGTATCTCCTGTAGTGAAGTTTTATGAAGATAATATTTAGTAAAATAGTGTTTTCAGCATATCAGCATATGTTTGATATATACTAGTTCTTGGCTCTAAACAATGTGTACTCCTTTATATATGATCATGGTTTGTATTTATTTATTTTTAAGATCTTTTTATTGAATCACAGATAAACCCTTACAAAATTCTTCATGATTAGGTTTCAGTCATACAGTGTTCCAATACCCATCTCTCCACCAGTGTACATTTTCCAGCACCAGTGGCCCTAGTTTCCCTTCCATCAATACTCACAAATCTCCCAACCTGCCTTCTCTCTCTCTCTCTCTCTCTCTCTCTCTCTCTCTCTCTCTCTCTCTCTCTCTCAGAATTGTGGTTTTCAATACAGATACTAAGCTGCTCTTCAAATGTTGATAATTCATTTTTCTTATCTTTTTTTGAGACCACATCCTGTATTGTCCATGCCTTACTGTTTACTCTGTGCTCAGGGATCAATTCTGACAGGCCCAAAATATAGGATGTCAGGGCTCAAACCCAGGTTAGACACATGCTAGAAAAGCACTAATCCACTTTATTATCTTTCCAGACACGGCACTTTTACATTAAAAAACATTAACAGAATTATTTGCTTTATGGAATTGAAATTCATATATTGATTCATTAGTTTTCAAATAAATGTATTGGGGATATATTTATGTGAAAGAACAGAATACATATAAATCAGCATTTTTTTGCTGACCAAAGAAAATTTACCAAAAATGTTATTGTCAAATAAAATTTGTTTTAGAGTTTCTGCATGCTTAATGTCATCACTTATACAAAAGTTAATTTCCTATTAAGTTTAGTGTTTCTTAAAATCTCATTAAATCACTATCAGCTTCATGAGATCTATATTACTGAAACTCCTGGTAGTAGCAGTAGACCAGTAAATGGAAGAGTGTTGGAAAGAAATCAAAACATATGTTAGAAAGCAAAGTTACATGCTAAAGTTAACAAAATAGATGTATTGTGAGAATAATTATTGCAATGTGTTGTGGTTAAGCCAGAATTATAGCTTTGGTCTTTCATGTGGCTGTGAAGTTGCTAATGCATGAAGTATCTTTTGTGTAAACAAAGCAAAACATACTCTTGCTACTAACCTAACACATGTTCCTAATAAAGAATGCAAAATATCTTCCATCTGTCATCCAAATGCAGCCCGGAAATTGACAGTAACTATGGTTACTGTCAATCTTAATTTAGTATTTTAGATTGGCAAAACACAGAGTTGGTTTTATATTTTACTAGTGCATATACAGCACATACTAGTGAACGTACATCAAAAGCATACCTAGTGATGGCACATAATTTGCGTCATTTGCAGACTTTCAAATGAATTTTTATTGGGGGTTTTATAACATTATATTCATCTTCTATTAGGGCAAGCTATGGCAATTTTGGAAGACTCAAGCAAGATGGTACAGTTGAAAATGATGGAATAGAAGGAGCCTGTGGTGGCTATGGAAGCCATGTAGAGAATAAAAACCCTGGAGAAGGTATATCCAGTGAGGGCAATGAAGACCTTAATGACCTTGAAGTATGTGGAATTAATATGGGCAAAGGATTAAGAGGCAAGGAAGGTAATGGAGATAAAAAAGTCAGTGAAATCAATGAAGCAAGTGAAGACTTTAAACGCAATGGAGGACAAAATAGCTCAAAAAAAGATGATCCTGTATCTAAGAAACTGGCATCACAAGACGTTGAACGTCCACAGAAGGTAATACATAATTTTACAAGGGGAACGTAAATGTTTCTCAATGTGATATTTCAAGTTACTGAAAATATATTTTGAACTTCTCTTGCAAAGCCTTAAGGCAGATTCCCTACCTGGTGTACTATCTCTTCTGCCCTAAGTAGTGTTCCTTAATAAATATTTTTGACATGGGAAGATGTTATTGTAGAAAGACAAATATAGAATTTTTTTGCATTTTTAACAATTTAAGTGTATGATTCACTTATTAAATACATTTCACAATGTGCGCAATCATGACAACTCTTCATTATGCCAGGCAAAACTTCCACGTAATCCCTTCTGGGTCCTGGTAACTGTTATTCTACTTCCAATATAGCTACCTTATGTGTATGTAGTAATTAATAATGTCTTATGTGACTGGCCTGTTTTATTTGGCATAATATGTTTAAGATTATATTGCAACAGAATTCCTTCTTTTGAAGGCTGTATAATATTCCAAAATAGATTATATTACATTTTATTATTCTCCTGTGGCTTGATACTTAGGTTGCTTTCACCTTTGGATGTGACTGATAATTATAGTATTAACATTGGTATGCAAGGATCTGTTATTGTAGTTCCTTTTTCAATTTTGGGGGCAATTTAAACAAAAGTACAGTTGCTCAATGTGGAATTGTTAGAGTGGCATTGCTAAATTCTATATAAATTTTTTGAGGAAGTTTTATCAAATAGAGTTTAAATAGAAATTTTGTGTTGTGTTTAGACAGTGATTTTTTTCATCCACAAAACATTTTATGAGCAGGTTTAGAAATACTCAAATAGTTCCACATGCACTTGATGGTAGAAGTTAGCACAGAGAAGAAATTCTGGAATACATGGTATTTTAACTAGTTCTTGGAAACTGGGAAATATTTAGATATCCAAAAAATGCAGGAGAGATATAAGACAAAGTACATATACCAGTTCGCTTTCTCAGACTGCCATATCATCTAAAAAGCCTATAAAATACCATGCTTTTTCATAAATGCCATTGCAGAGCTATAGTCTCTGTAAAGCTGCTTTCTCAGTTATTTTTTTCTTTTTGGGTCACACTCGGCAGTGCTCAGGTGTTACTCCTGGCTCTGCACTCGGAAATTACTCCTGGTGGTGCTCAGGGGACCATATGAGATGCTGGGGATTGAATTTGGGTAAACCGCATGCAAGGCAGACTCTCTCCCCACTGAAATATCACTCTGGCCCCTCAGGTTTTTTTAAAATTATTTTGGTTCTGTAACTGACAGTGCTTTTAATGATGTTTTTTAAGCACATTATTCAGACACTGCACATCACCAGTGTGCCCATCTCCTATTCCCCAAGGACCCCAATGTCCCCTTCCTTAATCCCGCAACTCAATTGCTGCACTTAGTACAATAGCCACGTTATGGAAACAACCCAAATGCCAACTATGGATGAATAGATAAAGATGTTGTGGTATATATAAACAATAGAAATCTTTTCTGCTCTAAGAAAGAAATAAATCTTGTTTTCTCACTCCTTTTCCTGGTGAACTGGTTATTTTTCATGGCCCAATTTGCTTCTAATTTTTTGACATGATTAAACCTTGTTTCCTCTATTCTTACAAGCACCTTTTCTGGGACAGGGAAGCTCACCTACAACCAGATCAGAAGTTCAGTTTAGAGTCTCCAGCAGGCACTTCTCCTTGGGCTCTGATGCTACGAATTACCCAGGCAACCCTGGATGTACTGAGATCTTCCAGGCACCATCCCCGTGGTTCTCAAAGACCTTCAGGGATGGAACTACCTATGCTCAGGAAACTATGTGGTGCCAGGAATTGAAATCATATCTGGCATATGATAGGCATGCACCCTAATTACTATACTATCTCCTGGCCTGCTTTCCAGCCAATCTTTAGCCCTTAGATTAATTATAGTACCTATGACACAGGAATGGAGCGATAGCACAGTGGTTAGGGCATTGGCCTTGCACGCGGCTGGCCTAGCCGACCCAGGTTCAATTCCTCCACCCCCCTCGGATATCCCGGCAAGCTACCAAGTATCTCTCCCAAACGGCAAAGCCTGGCAAGCTACCCATGGCATATTCAATATGCCAAACACAGTAATAACAAGTCTCACAATGGAGATGTTACTGGGCCCACTCAAGCAAATTAATGAATGGGAGGACTGCGGTACAGTGCAGTGCTACCTATGAACCTGATTTAGATATTCCCTTATTTGCTGTCACACCAGATTGTGAACTCTTCAAGGTAGGAGCATGTATAAACCGTCTTTGATTATCTACTCATCTAATCCCCTGACTCAAGTGAGATTCTGTGATAGATTCACAGTAATTGTAGATGAAATTCACAAATTCACAGTAATCATAGATTAATCCATGAAGAAGAAAACAAAAAATGAAAAGCAAGGCATCCTGGATGGTTTCCACTGGAAAAGGAGCATCCCTGGATTGTTGGGAAAGTGTCCGGTATCTCTACTTGTCATCCATGTACTTATTAAAAATCTTAAAATTGGTTGTTCAATAAAATTTTCTTAGAAACCCTTCTGTTTTTATTTACCTAAAAGAACGCTTTGTTTTTTGTTTTGATTATTGAGTTTTCTTTTTCTTTTGGCTGTGCACGTGGCTTTGTCCTGGCTTTGCTCTTGGGGGTCACTGCTGGAGGGACACTGGAGACCTTCTGTGGTGCCAATATTAAACCTGGGTAGGATGTGTTCAAGACAAGCACCCTGGCCACTGTACTATCACTGTGGCCCTCAGGAATGGTTATTAATGCTGCTATACAGCATTTTTCTGCTGGAAATACTGTAGCACTGTAGCACTGTCATCCCGTTGGTCATCGATTTGCTCGAGGGGGCACCAGTAACCTCTCCGTGGTGAGATGTGTTGTTACTGTTTTTGGCATATTGAATATGCCATGGGTAGCTCGCTGGGCTCTTTGAAAAGGACAAAGGAGTCGAACCCGGGTCAGCCGTGTGCAAATTGAAGACCTTACTCACTGTGCTGTCGCTCTAGCCCATTGGAAATACTATAGCACTGTAGCACTGTCCTCCTGTTGTTCATCGATTTGCTTGAGCGGGCCCAGTAACATTGTGAGACTTTTTGTTACTGTGATTGGCATATTGAATACGTCATGGGTAGCTTGCTAGGCTTTGCCCTGCGGGAGAGATACTCTCGGTAGCTTGCTGGACTCTCCTAGAGGGGTGGAGGAATCGAACCCGGGTCGGCCAGGTCAGCTACATGCAAGGCAAATGCCCTACCCGCTGTGCTATTGTACTGGAAATACTGTCACTGTCACTGTCTTCCCATTGTTCATCGATTTGCTCAAGAGGTTCCAGTAACGTCTCCATTGTGAGACTTATTGTTACTGTGTTTGGCATATCAAATACATCATGGCTAGCTTGCCAGGCTTTGACTCAGGGGTGAGATACTCTCAGTCACTTGCAGGGCTCTCCGAGAGAGGTGGTGGAAGAATCGAACCCGGGTTGTCCAGGTCTGCCGTGTGCAAGGCAAAATGCCCTACCTGCTGTGCTGTTGTACTGGAAATACATGAAAATAAATTTTATTAGAGACCATAACTCGCTAAATGTCTAAAACCTCTCTTTAGACACAAAGAAATGTTTATCAAAGGAAAGCTATACTAAAAATCAGCTGGTATGCTTTTCCACCAGCTGTGGAGTTTTATATGTGTTGTCAGTCGCTTTGGGCTGTAATGTGACCTGACTTTATTATCTGTATGTTAGTAAAAGCAGACTAATTTTTTAGCAAACTATTTTCAAACTCTTTAATTGTGTTGGTTGATCTCCTATTATTAGTTTCCTTATTTGACAAAGGAAAAGACAGCCCCACAATGACATTTTCTCCCCAAGTGGCTGTTTAACGTAGTATCTTTGATTGTAATCTTTGGAATCAAACAGACATTGGCCACAAACTCTGAATCTCTGGTCTGCCTATTAAGTTTTTTATTATTGCACAAATTTTGTAGATTCTCTAACCTCTAGTTTCATTATAAATAAAACAGGGAGTACGCATATATGTATATATATTCTATTTAGGGCTTGTTATAATGATTCACCATCATACATAAATGAATCATGCAGAGTAACTGGTACATAATTAATATTCCACAAATTTTGGTTCCCGCATTATGTAGGTTGAAACTTCAAACTCTAGGCATTTATCCTCTGACCTCAATTATCTGAATAAATTTAGTTTCCTTTTTTGGTAACATTGTTGAATTCTGATGAATGTGGATTTCACAAAGGTTTAGAAATTTTTAAATGTTATAATTTGTCTTTCCTTTTTCAAATGACCACTATGCATATTTTATATTTATAGTACTATTAGATTCCTAATGAATTTTCACTCTTTTTTAAGGATTCAAGTGGCAAAAGTGAGCCCTCAGGTGGGACTGCACCATTAGTGTCCCATGATGAGAATGACAGCATGGTCATATCAGAAGCATTCGCAGAATCAGGTTTATCTGCAAGCTGTTCGTCTGCTTCCAATGGATCTTTGGGTACTAGCGGTGACTTTGCCAGTGCCATCAGTAAGTGAATTCCACATATTTTTAAAATTCTTCTCTATCTTACCTACCCTCAGTCCCCTCACTTGTGATTAGTGCCAATCATTGACCAGTCCTAAAGCTTGTTTTCCCTGATTTTAATCTACTATATATTTTTATATACCACAAATGAATGCAGTCATTCTATCTCTTCATAACCTTTCAATATCAATATTGCAAACCACAAGTGCTCAAAAGGAGAGACAGAGAAAGAGAGAAAAGAAAAGTGGGAAGTGGGGGGAGATGGGAGGGAACTTAGGACCTTGGGACGCTGGTGCTGGGAATTGTATACTTGTGGAGATACAAGTATTGGAATACTGCATGACTGAAATACAATAATGAACAGCTTTGCAAGGGTCTATCTCACAGTGATTCAATAAAAAAGCTTTAAAAATTCTGCAGTTGGCTCACATATTAAATTCATTTTGGGGTCACCGCATCTTTATTTGAAAAGAACAATTTTTGATAGTCATTTGATAAAAATCGAATGGTTATGTGCTTCTGTTGTTTTTTGTTAAAGAACTAGGATTTACAAAGTTGTTGATAGATGAATTTTAGGCATATAATATTTCAGCACCAATCCCATCACCAGTGCCAACTTTGATTCACCAGTGTTCGCAAATATTCTCTACCCACCCCAACCCTGCCCCACTCCCTCCTGTTAACTTGATAGGCACATTTAAAATATTCAGTGATTTCAGTTTAGATCATACACTTTCAGTTTTGTTGAGTCTGTGTTTTGGGTATATGAATATACCACTCACCCCTATCGTCAGTATAACTGAAACCCTGGTGCCTGTTTACCCATTACGTCACAATCTCTTCTTCCCTCTTGGTTTCTTGGTCTTTCTCCTCTATAACTTCTGGGGTCAAGTGTGATCTAAGTATCCTCCCTTTACTACAAAATGCTTTCCCTCATCCAGCTTTCTGGCTATAAGCATTTTAAAAGCCTACACTTCAGGGAGTCTTCATGGCACCTAAACTTGAACTACAATTGAGAAACTAAGTCCTTAATATTTTTGAAATCCCAGTCATAGTACCTGGAATTACATTTATATTCGGAAATATATTTTGTCTATCATAATTTGTGTTATATAAAGATTTAAGGGTAAGAGAAGTATAGCTCTCCAGAAAAAGAAAACGAAAGGAAAATTAAGTTTTAAAACTTTCTCATTTGTAGAAATGCTAAAGCATATATAATGCATAGAGTAGTGATTTCTCTTATAACTTCCTCTTGCTTCCATACAGTATATGCTGGATTAGTGGATGGTGAGAAATCATCTCAGCAACCATCTGAAGTAAATGTTAACCCACTATATGTCTCTCCTGCTTGTATAAAACCACTGATACATGTATATGAACAGGAATTTTCTTCTGAGATCTGTTGTGGTTCGTTATGGGGTGAGTTTGGTTCATTAAAACTTAATCATATTTTTAAAGAGATAATTTATATGTACGTCAATATTATATAAAAGCATAAAATTTTTGTTTGCTCTTATCAGTTACTCAGTAAATAAAATATGTGTTTATAATAATGTATTTGTTGTTGATATATTTCCACACCATGTAGTGTGATTTTGATTTGTTAAAGCTTCTCTTATATTATATTCAACTTTTTAACCTGAATCACTTGATTAAAATATAAAGCAGGATTATTATTTTTGAGAATATGAATTTAATGTTTTTAATTTAAGATAAGTATGCAGCAGATAATACCTAGTTAAGTAGTATAAGAAACATTATTGTGTGTTCATTTTTTAAATAATCTTGAGTTTTAGAGTACCATCTATGATAGACTTTGTAATTTTTTTCCAGAAGAACTTCTTAAGTGTGATAAGACAGTATTTTAACTCCAGCTATTTTAAATCGTAAATGAAGACAAATAAATGAAATCAAGGAAGAGTAAAATCCAGAATAAGTACCAGAATCCAAGTTGAAACTTCATAGATTGTGCTTAATATCTGATTAAGCTGAGGATCGTATTTTCAATAAAAATAGAGCAGTGTAGCAAACGTCATAGTTATGTAGATTGAACATCACAGGAAAACAAAAACATTTCCTCCATATTTTGCTAATATGATAGTTTAAATAAGAAGAAAGCAATTTGTGCTTCATTGTCATTTCATTCACCAGTAGATGTAGTTAATACAAAGCATATGATTTTTATAAGTTGTGATTTTATATTACTGAAAAATGAATATAGTCAAAGTCAGTTGTACTTCACCCTTCTTCTGGGTGGAACTTCTGGGAGCAAGATACCGTTTCTAAACCTTCTATAGGCCATTGCTTAAAGAACTAGTCATGTACTGTTTCTTTAAGAACTAATGAAAAAAAGTGGAGGGAATTATTTTTCCTCTTTACACCACAAGAAATAATCAAGTAAGTAATATACAATCAACAAACTATTCTCCATATTAAGTAGAAGTAAATTACTGGATTACTGTCTCATGCGACTTTGATCACTCTCTCTTACATCTCAGGCTATGTAGGGGAAAATTGATACTGCAGTGATTTAGAGTGTATTCTAACCTTAGGACTTGTGCTTAAGTTTTCTTATTTTGATTTGTTTTGGCTTTTGGGGGGATCACACCTAGCGATGTGCAGGGGTTACTCATGACTCTGCACTCAGTATTATTCCTGGTGGTGTGGGGGCAGGGGGGCGAGAAACGTGGGATCCCAGGGATCAATCCTGGGTTGGCTGCATGCAAGGCAAACAAACACCTTACCCGCTGTACTTTCACTGCAGCCCTTCATTTGATTTTGTTTTTATTTTATTGATCACCATGAGATAGTTACAAGCTTTCATGTTTGGATTACAATCACATCCATCCCTCCACCAGTGAACATTCCCCACCACAAATATCCCTGGTATACACCCCCTTTCCCACCCTCTCCCTGCCTGCATGGCAGACAATATTCCCACACTCTCTCGCTAATTTGGGGCATTATGGTTTGCAATACAGACACTGAGAGGTTATCATGTTTGGTCCTTTATCTACTTTCAGCACACATCTCCCATCTCGACCAGTAAACATTGCTTATATTGTAAGGAAAGAGCCAGCAGGCAAATAACAGAGTAGGCTCTTAGGTACATGAAAATATGGACTAAGTTAGTAGGCATGAGACAATGTGAATTTTTTAATAGAATCACTTAATTTAAGGTTAATTTACATACAATTAATAATACACATATAATTATTTAAGGCATTGGAATTATTAGTTAAACAATTTAACTCAAGTCCTTTGTGTGCAGTAGGCATTCTTAGTATGTAATGGTGAATTTCAGAGGGTTTATTGATTTTTATGAAGTTTTCGACAATACTAAGATGATGCTGATGTACATATATAATATGCACACATAATTTTCTATTTGCAAAATGGTGCATCATATACCAGCCATAAGAATATTGTCATAGGATCATATTTTCTCTATTTTAATGTATTTAAATGAAATTTGCTAAAAAGCAGGGTTTATTGTTACACAGAATGGGTTAATATTTTCCTAAAATGATAAACATTTCCACTCCAAAATAGCAAAAATCCTAATATAAATTCAGTAGTAAAATGTTATATGAACTAATATAGTACTTATTTTTATATGCAAACAGGAGTGAATTTGCTGTTGGGAACCCGTTCTAATCTGTATCTGATGGATAGAAGTGGAAAGGCAGACATTACAAAACTTATAAAACGAAGACCATTTCGTCAGATTCAAGTTGTAGAGCCACTCAATTTGCTGATTACCATCTCCGGTTTGTTTAAGAACTAAAATTAGCTGAATAATTATGTGGATTAATTAGGTTGCAAACTGGGTTAAAATTTTTTTCAGGTGAAAGTGTTCTTAGGAAATCACTTTAAATGTAGTTTCTAACTGGGGCACCAGATATCCTTACTTACAATTTATTGTATATATACATACATAACATATAAGTTATATATATTTAAAATTTAAACAAATGTCTGATTTTGGCATATGTTATCTCATTGCAATGATACTTACAGGTTTGGTTATAAGAAAAAAATTATCATTTTAGATCTCTACTATCTAGCCACTTACGGTTTCATAACTCATAAGTTAACTCACCCGTACTCATCATTTATTTCTAGTGATTTTTTTAGGAGCAGCAAGGTATAAAGCAAAGGGTAGTTAAATAAAAAACTGTTGTCTCTAGCTTAGTATAAGAACCTACTGACTTCCCACATAGTGGTTAAATGTCATAGTTTTGGTCAATCATAGCAGACTGACCTTTGAATATGAAAGAGCAAATAAAGTTATGCTGAAATTTACTGTGATTATTAATCAGTAAATGGGAACAGGAAAGACTATATTAAACCTGACTATAGGCAGAGAATGTTTGAGAAAATAATAGGAATAATTTTTAAAATGCTTTGACTGTTGAAAAAAAGAATGCTGATCACAATCATTTATATGTGTGTGCCCATAGCTGACATTTAATGTTACACTTAATTATTGCATATACTATAGCACTGTAGCACTGTCCTCTCATTGTTCATCGATTTGCTCGAGTGGGCACCAGTAATGTCTCTATTGTGAGACTTGTTGTTACTGGTTTTGACATATCAAATAAACCACAGGGAGCTTGCCAGACTCTGCCGTGTGGGCGGGATATTCTCAGTAGCTTGCCGGGTTCTCCGAGAGGGACCGAGGAATCGAACCCAGATTGGCCACGTGCAAGGCAAATACCCTACCCGCTGTGCTATCGTTCTGCCCTCGTATAGAAGCATATACTCCTAAATATAAAATATTTTGAATTGTTTTATGAGAAGAGAAAATTCCTCTTTTATTTGTTTCTGTGATGTACCCTGCAGTGGTCAGAGCTTTCCCCTAGTTCTGTGCTCAGGGATCAATCATGGTGGTGTTTAGGGACCACATGTAGTGCCAGGAACCGGAAGTGGTCAAATGTAAAGGTTTAACCCCTATACACCCTCTCTGCACCCTGAGGAAACAAAAATTATTTTTAAAATTTATTTTGTTTTGTTTGGGAACAGCACACATCTAGCAGTGTTCATAGCTTATACCTGCACTAACCTCAGTGACCACTCAACAAAGGACTCAGACAATTCAATCAGCCTGATCAATGGCTAAATAAATAGCAATACTCCTACATAAAAAAAGAGCTCAGAGAACCATATGTGGGGCCAGAGATCAAACTTCTTGCACCCAATACAAATTATCTACCCGCTAAACTATCACTCCGATACCCAGAGGAGAAACCTCTGGGGTGTGATGGAGGCACACCGGTTGTGCTCAGGACTTAGTAATGGATCTGTGTTCAGGGATTGATAACTTGTGGCAGGCTCAGGAGACCGAACAGAGTACTGACAAATTATACCCAGTCCTGTCCTGTGCAAGACAGAACTCTTCTCTGCTGCACTATCTCTTTGATCCAAAAATTCTTTGTAGATTTTCTTATTCTTCATATATTTTGTATAATGTTTTATGGTCATTTGTTTGCTTGAGATGCATGGAGGGAATGTTTAGTTTTCTAAAACTTCTGATGATTTAGAAACTAGAAATCTGAACACGGACTTCTTTATGCCCGTATTTCTCTAACCCAGAAGTGTTGCTTTTAATGCTTGAGTTTCGTTCAAGTGAGAGCTTTAGTGGTTTTTAATTTGAGAACTGTGATTTACAAAGAAATTGGTAATTGAGTTTTAGTCTATAAGTTTCTAACACCAGCCACACCACCAGTGTCAAATTGCCTCAACTGTTACTCAAGTGAGGATTATTGCTTGCATTATATAGTGCTAGAATATTAGCACAGAAAGACACATAAAAATGTAGGCACCCATTTTATCTTGTCATTTTCGATCTGAATGACAGTAAACATAGATACCTAGATTTTAATCAAACTTCAGGAAAAAATTACATAGAAAACATTTGAGGTTAAACACATGTATAAGAATCCTATTGTTTCGCTAGAAATCTTGTAACCATCAACCTAAAAATAAGGGTAAAGTAACTCTATGTTAAGAGAAATGTATAGAGGCTAGAACAATAGTATAACAAGTAGGATTCTTGCCTTGTTTTGAACAATTGATTAAAAATGTTTCAATTTTTAGTGAATTTAATGGGTTTTATGTTTGCAGGCCTTATAGAGCAATGCTCTGGGCTTATTCTTGATTCTAGGCTCAGGGATCACTCCTGGTGAGGTACGGGGATTCATATGGAGTTCTGGAAATGGACTCTAGGATGGGCACATGCAAGGCAACTCCCCACCCACTGTGCTATCTCTTTTCAACCCCTGAATTACTTTTCCTGAAGAAATTATAAGAATTATAAGTTAGCTTGAGGAAAAATAACATTATTCAATTATATTATAAGTATGCAGGAATATAAAAATACCTATAGAGGTCCATCACAGTGGCCCTTAGTGATTCACAGTCAATACATCATATATAGGGACTATGAGGAACAGTTTTTGGGCATCCAAACCCCGGAAGAATTATGACTAAATAAATGCCATGGAAGAAATGAATGAATAGTGATTCCATTGTGTTTCTGTGTCAGTTTTAAGTTGTCTTCAAGTATTTTATATTTACTTTATACAGATTGACACTTTGACTAGTTCTTAGAATTGAGAGACTAAAAGAGACTTTGCTATCACATTTTCAAACTCTGATACAGTGTAGTTACTTTTCAGTGCTTCACTCTCAATGAATACATTTTATTAAAAGGCCAACATGCCTTACTTTTCATTCTTTTAACATATATTCAACAATAATAATCTGATTTTAAACACGAATTTTTTCTGTGTCTGTTAGGAAATAAGAACAGACTCCGTGTGTATCATCTGACCTGGCTAAGGAACAAGATTTTGAATGATGATCCAGACAGTAATAAAAGACAGGAGGAAATGCTAAAGACTGAGGAAGCCTGTAAGGCTATTGATAAACTGACTGGTTGTGAACACTTCAGTGTCCGTAAGTTTCATTTCAAGTCTACCTTGCTTTCCTTGCTCATAGCTGACCCAATTTTGATCCCCAGCACCACAAATGGTCCCTCAAGCACTACCAGGAGTAATTTCTGAGAACAGAGCCAGGAGTAAACTCTGAGCATTGCCGGTGTTGCCCAAACATTTCTTCCCCCACCAAAAAAAAAAAAACTTTCTTATCTTCAGTTTACCTTCAAGAATATTCAATATATTATCTTTTCTTGTTTGGAAATGTATTTCTTTTGAAATAAAATAGAATAATTTTATTTTCCCTCTTTTAAAATCAAAAATTCCTCAGAATGACTAGGGACCTGTGATAAATCAAAAGAAAATTATTTTATGCTCTACTGACTCTTGCTATGACTGAATATATTCATATGTGTAATTTCTTCTAAGTATTTCCTGTCTGGGAAGAGTGTATATCACTTCTCTTCATTGTCATCCATTGTGAAATGGAGTAACTGGAGGGTCTCAGAATCCCCTTTAAGTTGTCAACAATTAGGTAATTATGTCATTCCATCCAGTTATATTTCTGAAGTAAATCCCCTCCACTCTCAGTCTTTTCTTCTTCACTAACTACATCTTCTGACAGAACTAGTGACTGAAGTTGTGAGTCCTATATTGCATAATGTTATTTCAATCATGACTATTTCTGTTCTTTATATAAAAAAGCTTCTCAGGAAGAGATATTCATAGATGTGTATGTGTATACATATAATACTATTAAAGATAAAATTAGTACTTACATAAGTTAGGCATTAAATAAATATGCTACCTCAAATTTTGTTATTAGTTATCTCTAAATCATTTTCCATAAATTGAATAGCCTGGGTTAGTTTTCTAGATAACCCAGGGGTTTATATAGGAAAACAGCCTCCTACTAAATACATAGTCTTAGTTAATTTGGGATTTTGATTTGGGGGCGCGGTTAGCCAACAGACATCAGTGAATCAAGGCTTATTCCTTGCTTTTTGCTGAGCAGTCATTCAGTTGGTGTTCAGAGGACTAAATTAGGTACTAGAAATCAAACAGGGATGGACTTCATGCAAAAAAGAGCTTTAGCCCGAAATACTCTCTCTGGCCCCTAAAAACATAGTCAGTTTACAAATTTGTGAAGTTCTTGAACTGAGTAAATCTAGTTTTCTTGGCTGTCTACATTCCAACCCATTTCAGCTCTCATAAGAACAAAAAGCATTTATCCATCTCACAGATAAAATAGTACTAACTTCTTATAGGATAAATATAGCAGCAGTATACTCATACTTCTGTGGTATTTTCATTACATTCCAAGGTCTTTAAAATAATGACTTTATTCCAGTTATTGATACTTATTCAAGCTATATATATTTTGCCTAACAGGGAATTCTTTTGCTTGTTGGGCATTTAATAATCTTCTTAGACTTTCTTGAGGACATTAAGAGAATAAGCTGAAGGCTGAGAGAGGTAAAGCAAGAGTTTAGAGAAGAGAGAAGCAATGACTCAGTGAAGAGGGCATTTAACACAAAGTACAAATCTAGACTCACAGAAATGTACTCCATAAGAATCAGAAGGTCTAGATGAGAACAAAAATTACTTTTGTGCATATTTCCTTTTAAAAGAAATAGCTTCCTGGAAACATTAACACTTACCATAAAGTATATACATTCAGTGTATAATTCAATGGCTATTATTATTTCCATAGTTGTCTAATCTCCACCGTAATGTAATTCTCATTGTCACAATTAGAAATCCCATAACATTTAATTTCCACTACATAGTTCATCTTTTTTTATACTCACCCCATTCTGCTCAGAATAGTCATGATCTCCTCTCATTTGCTATAAAATTTGTCTCTTCTGAACAACTGAGCTAAGGAGAACCATGTACCATGCCATTATTTGTGACAGTCTTCTCAGAATAATTTTTCAGGTTTCACTAATGTAGTAACCTCTCTATGACCAGTTCTGCCTTTTAAAAATTCTGAATAATATTGGATCATATTAACATACCACCTTGTATCCAATTCTGTAATACATCCTTGTAAACATTTTACTGTTTCTACTTTTGTGATGCAAGGAATATTTCTTCTAAAATATTTTCTATTAGTTTTGGATTGTTAATTGGTTGAGATTCTGTGGTTTTCAGTACTATTAATAATGGTTTCTGTAAATGTCTGTTTATAAGACTATATGCTTTCTTTTCTCTTAAACATTTACAAAATGGTTGCTGCATTATACTGTAAGTGAACGGATTCCTTTAAATCTTATTCTTTGCTTATGAAGTTATATGTCTTTTAATTCTAGCCATACATGTGACTATAAGGTAATATTTTATTGTTGTCTTGGTTTGGAGTTTTTCTTGACTGATTCCATCATCTTTACAAGTGGTCATTTATTTTTACTGTACATTTGTATATATCCCTTGAAATGCTTACTGTTTTGTTTTTGAGTTGAAAACATTATGTATATAGCGTATACTCTATCTTTATCAGATAAATAATCATATGCTTTCTCTAATTCTGTAGGTTGTCTTTTCACTATAAAAATGTTCTTTGATACACACAAATATCAATATTGATTAATCCCAGTTATCTAATTTTAAGGGTCTTTTAGTAATTTGGAGGCCATACCTGGCAGTAGTTAGAGGTTTCTCCCAACTCTGTTAATGGATGTTGTTCCAAGTGTAGCTCAGGAAACCGTGTACTGTCAGTTTTCAAAGCACGCAGATAATTGATCTATCTCTCTGATCAAATCTGCTTTATTGTTGCTTATGTTTGTTGTGTCACATAATAGAATTCATTGTCATGGATATTACTTCTTATATTTGCCTTTTAATTACTGATAATTTTTATCCCATTACACGTACTATTTTGATCCATTTAGAGTTATTTTTATGTAATATGATATAAGAGTTTTAACTTTCATATTTTTCATGTGGATATTGCTTGCCCCACCACGATTGTTGAAGAAACTTTTTTTCTATTGAATATTCTTGCTAGCATCAACCATAGATGGAGGAGCTTGTAGACTTAAATTCACATTCTATTGATACATAACCTCTCCTTATATCAGTACTTTATCATTTATTTCTTTTTCTTTATCTTGTAGTAAGTTTTGAAAAACAATGTGCGTCCTCAAAATTTATTTTCCTTTTTTGAGATAATTTTGGCTGCTCAAGATCTCTTTAAATTCTATTATATGAATTGTAGCATCAGCATTTCAATTTTTGCAGAAGTGTTTCCAGTCACTCGGACAAGCTGTGGGCCAATAACATTGTGCTAGTAGCCACGGTCAGGGTCTGCCCAGAACCACCCAGGGGGCCAGTTATTTCATTAGAGATTTCACTGAAACTGTGGGATGATTTTGTATTTTTCATTTTTAAATAATCATCAGAATAATAGAATAACAATGTTATGCCTAGCCACGAATGAATAAAGGAAATCTTCTCACTTACTTAGGTGTTTAATTTCTTCAAAAATGTTCTTGTCTTTTGTTTTTGAGTTTTGTGCCACACCTGGTGGTGTTCTGGGTCCCACTTCACTCTGCACTCAGAGATCACTACTAGTGCTACTCAGGGGTGCCAGGGATTGAACCTGGTTTGACCATGTGCAAGGCAAGCATCCTGCCCATTGTATTATCTCCAGCTTTATATTAAAATGTGTAATATTCTTAAAAAATGAGTGGATGAAACTATATATTTCTTAAAATTAATATATTAACTCTATAAAATATATTAGTTCTTTGTGGGCTATCAATTTTAAACTAACAAGTTGTATAAAATATAAGATCTGTGCTTTTGCATTGTGATTAAGACGTGTTCAATAGAAAATATAATATTTGAGTATCATTGCTAACATCTTGACATTATTTCTTCTTTGTATTTTTACTTTGTAGTTCAACATGAAGAAACAACTTATATTGCTATTGCTTTGAAATCATCCATTCACCTTTATGCATGGGCCCCAAAGTCTTTTGATGAAAGCACTGCTATTAAAGTGAGTGGTCCCCCTGTCCTTTGAATCTTGAAGTTTCTCCCTTGTGAAGTTACAAACAGAACAGTATTTTAGACTGTAGCAATATGAACATATACTGCTCTGCATTTAAAGTAATTTAAGTATGCAATTTCAATAATTAAAATTTGAATAAATTAAATGTTAATTAATTCACTAACCATTTTTAGATAATTCACAGGCACCACATCAAGGGAGTGTGAGGGAAATCCTTGGTCCTTCCCCTTAATGGACATCCCCAATAACTCCTCTCCCAATTCTTGTAGTCAACATGAAGACCTCTTCTAAAGATCCAAATGCAAACCTTGGGTGTCACTCCAATGACTTGAAGCTGAGAAAGTCATTGTTCTTTTTTAGTGGGGGGTAGAGAGCAGAGGTAAGGTAATAAAAGGTATGACAATGGTAAATGGGGGGCCCTACTGAAGAGGAATGAGATAATAGAATTCCCTTGCTTTAATTAATAGGACTGCAAAAGGGGGGTGGGAAGGGATGTGTTTCTTTCCTTCCAAGCTGGAACTCTAAACACATTTTTCTCTAGAAATATTACAAGGATTGGTGGTTAGGCTTATTTGGATTACCAGTACTATGTCTACCTTTATTATGATTTAACTGAACTTCTGTGGATCAGCCTCATTAAGGTAACTGTATAGTGTCCCAACCAGATAAGTTGCTGATAATTTCTAATCACATCTCACAAAAACTGGAGACTTTTCAATTAGCTTCTTATAATGTTATGAGCTTTAAATAAGATCATGTTTTATGTATTCCATAATATTAAGAACTGCTTAATAAAACTGACATCATAATATGGAGCCGACTTAACTGCAAGTATAAGGTGTACCTCAGAATCTGAATTATTGTTAAAAGTTTAGATATCAGACCCAAACCCCAGGCTGAATTAATGTGTCTGGGGTGAGGCCTGACTATCTATATTTTAACAATTTTTCTGGGTGACTTTAAATTAGTTGATATGGACAAGTATTTATAAAATACTGATAGGGATACATCACGATAGATGACAATAATTTGTTAGTGAATCATTTTTAAGCTTAAGTTCTGTTTACATGGTATACTTTTATGAGTCAAATTAGCATACATACAAAATAATATAGGAAAACTCCTATGACTGCCACTGCATTTCTAATATGCTATAAATATTATTTTAAAATATTTGATACTCTATAGGTAGACTTTGTCTTTCTTCATGCAAATCTCATCCCTGATCTGATCTCACTAAATTGGGCCTTGGGTCAGTTGGACCTTGGGTCAGTTGTCAGTATTTGTATATGGGCTTATTCTTGGGTTTATGCTGATTGGTCAGAGCTGCCTGGTATGGAGCTGGAAATCATAGAAAATGAATACAAACAGTCTATAGAGCCTGATACACAGTCCCTGGTCTGAGTCCTTATTCCAGTCCTTGCATTGCGCTTCGTGACTACATATAGGAATCCGGTGATGTCATATGCTCCACTGTAACCTGGAGATGGTGATGAATACTATTTAGACTTTTATTTCCTTGAAGTAGAAACAACAGAAGTCCAGAATATATCATTACATGTAGGTTATTACATATAGATTAACATGTCTGGCCTTTTTCATTCCCTACCAAGTATGCATTGATGAATCAGCAGATTCTGAAGGAGACTATATGTCCTACGAAGCCTATATACGAATACTGGCAAAAATACAGGCAGCTGACCCAGTGAACCGGTTTAAGAGACCAGATGAGTTACTTCATTTGCTGAAGCTTAAGGCAAGGAATTAAAAGACAACAGAATATATAGAGGGCTCATTTTAATATTGAATATTTAGGCTTTGAATTGACCCCCACTCTTTATAACCTGAATATAGTCATATTTGTCTAGTAACAGTCCTTAAAAAGTGGTAATATGTAGAATAAACAAAAGATGTAATTTGGAAAATCCAATAAGTTTTTATAAATCTATTGAATATGGGGGGGAAGAATTCTTTTACTTAGAGTGTCATTTTTGGCCATTTGGCCGTATTTGGTTTTATATCTACAGGTATTTCCAACACTTGGTCATAAGCCAGTAACAACTGACCTTACTATTGGTTCTGAAAAAAGACTCAAGATTTTCTTCAGCTCAGCAGATGGATATTATATCATTGATGCAGAATCTGAGGTTTTGTCTGATGTGACTCTGCCAAATAATGTAAGATCCCTAGAAATTATTGTATGCCACAATTACAGATTTTCTAATTCTACCAGCTCTTTAAGATTTTAAAATAATACTATTGATGTCTGTACTGGAACTGAGGCTTAAAAGGTAAATATAAAGTGAAAGAAAGAACTCATGGATAAAGAAAAATAACTTACAGTTCCTTTCTGCAGACAGCTAAGTCAAATCTACATACAGATTTTGTATGCTTGTCATAATGTCTTTGTTTACACTTTAAGATGTGCTTCTATTGATAAGCCAAAAGACAAACATCAGATTCCCATAACTATCTGTCTATTAGCAGCTGGAATCAATTTGTGGCTCCTTCTCTATAAATGTAAAATATGATCTACATTTTCTCTCCAGTAAACTTTATCTATTTATAATAACTGATCTTATATGAAATATATAGTTTTAAATTTTACACTAATCTGTGTGTACTCCATAATGATTAACAGATTCTCTAAAAATACCAGTACTGAATATTATGTGTATTTCCCTTCAATATCCAGATTGTAGTATTCTTTACTGCAACACAAAGTTATACAATTTTCTACACTGTCACTGTCACTGTCACTCCCATTGTTCATTGATTTGCTCAAGCGGGCCCAGTAATGTCTCCATTTTTTGAGACTTGTTGTTACTGTGTTTGGCATATTGAATACGTCACGGGGAGCTTGCCAGGCTTTGCCATGCAGATGAGATACTCTCAGTAGCTTGCTGGGCTCTCTGAGAGGGGCAGAAAAATCGAAACTGGCTTGGCCAGGCTGGCTGTGTGCAAGGCAAATGCCCTACCACTGTGCTATCAGTCCAGCCCGCAATTTTCTACAAAAACATTATTATATCTTTAGGAGTCAGGAAATAATCATAGTGATAGTATGGTACATGTTTAAATACAAACAGTCATAAATTGTTGCTCATGTTATTCAAATGAAGAATATGACAAAAACATAATGCCCTCCCCAGATGTGCACACTATATAAAAATTTAGGTCTGCTATCTCAAATTTGATTTTTATCTTGCTGATTTTCCTATTAAACACTGTATTTAAAATGAAGAGCTAAAAATGGGGAGATAAAATTGTACAGCCTATGCTTAGCATGCACAGTGACCTGATTTCTGTCCCCCAAACTGCATGCCCCACCAGAATAATTGGATATGATATTGTGGACTCTAAGCATTGCTGAGTGTAGACCTCAGTACTCTTGAAAATCCAGACCATTACCGGTTTTCAAAAAAGCCAGATATGATAATTGTGGCTCCAGAGCACTGCAGGCCCATGCCAAGCAAAGCTCTTATAGGAATGGTTTTGTGACCCTGAGCACTGCTGAATATAGAAGTATGAAAATGTAAGCTAAGAAGGACTAAACCAAGATTTTTTTCATTTCACCCATTTTTAACTCATGTTCGTCAATAAGTGGAATCTTAACATAGAATCTATATAAAAAGAGTATAGATTAAAACTTTATTGTGCTTTTAAATCATTGAAGTAATGTGATATTTTGCAGAGCACCCATAATTATACATTTCTAATAAGTTGCACAGAACTATTAATTATTAGATGTTTATATACATAAAATTGTTACAATTATCATAGCAATTTATATGATCACTGAGCTATCACCTATGATTATATATAAATCGCCCTTGATATGGAATAATACACTAAACCATTTCCAACTAGGCCACTTCGATATGAGTTTAGGCTAAACAATACTTTTCAACCACAATGTCTCTTATAGCTTACTGCATCTTATATTTTTATGCCATGTTAGCCTGTATTTTGAAGCTGGTACAGTATTGAACATTGCAGAATTGCTCTAAGTTTACACTTATTTGAAAAATTAATTAAGAATATTTAACTATGCATTCGATGTAATTTGCACACGAAGAGAATTATTTCCATTTGAAGAAATCAGTTAATTATTGTGGAATCAAGAATGAAACTAAATGAATCTCAAAAATTTATTTTCTGACCTAATTAGGTTATCTTAAGTATTTTCAAAAACAGTATTTTTAGCTAAATGTCCTACTATCTGACCCATTAAGAAAAGACTCTAAGGGAGGGGAGAGTAACAGATGTACTAAAAATAATATTTTTCTAGGAGTGCTAGATTACAAAAGCGGTAATGCTATAACGGACTCAATTGCGTTTAGGAATATCTGGTTACTTCAGGAACCATCTGAGAAGCAAGAGTATTGCTTTTGACGCTTTCTGGATTTACTACAGTCTAGTTTTATTTTACATATATTTTATTGAGACAACTTTATTTCTTGTGATTTCTTTTTCTTTCTTCCTTCATTTCGTTTCTAATTCAATCACTAATGAGAGTGCCCAGGGAACGTATTAAAATTGCTTTCCGCCTCTGGATTCCCATTTTAGTTTTAAGAATTGTTGTTGCTGAGACATGGCCTCAAGCACTTGGCCTGAGTACGCTTGGTTTGGCAAGTATAGTTTCTGACCTTATTTCTCTAACTTGCTAACTTGGAGAAATTATAGAACAATGTAGTTATTCATTTCTCTGGGAAATACTGTTATGTAGTATCTGTAGTTTAAGCAAGTTTTGTCATAAAAATCAAGAAATTTAGAAATTCAGAGTTATTTCTTGGCATTTCATAGACCATCACTTACTATGTCTCTCAAATTTGTGTTTTAAAAGTATTTTGAAATAACAATTTTGCTTAAGAGTCCATTGTTTCTTCTAACAGAATGATAGCTATATTTCATACAGCAGACAATGTTATAATGCTTCCTTGGTAAAAATTTTAATTCAAGCTGTTTTAAGTGATTTTATCTTTCTTATAATAATGAATTTATTAATAACCATCCACTATGGAGTGCTATTTGATTCACACATTCATTACTAAAGTACTCACTAACCACTAAAGTATATCTGCCACCTAATTCTGTAACAGTATATCCTCTTATATACATAATATTTTGTGAATTTTTAGTGAATTTCTGTGTTGAAAATAAATACCTGCGTTTTTCAAAGAAGGTTTTCTCTTAACTATAAAGCAAAGTATTAAACAATGATGTCTCTGTGACACTGGGAAGGGATTTTTTCAGGTATTTGGTAACATGTATAAATACAAAAATAGAAGTTTCTTGTTCTTCCTACACTTGAAACTATTTTGGTAATCATGCTTCTTCAGTTAAACAGTAGTGATAAACTGTTGAACATATAAATCTTTATGAAATATAATTCCATCCCCTGGAAATCATTATACTACAGAATATCATCATTTTACCTGACTCCTTGGGAATTGGTATGATGATCACTTTCAATGCTGAAGCCCTTTCTGTGGAAGCAAATGAAAAACTCTTCAAGAGGATCCTTGAAGCCTGGAAAGACGTACCATCTTCAGTGGGTATGTAGAGTGCTTTTTTGTTGATTTTTTTAATTACTGATAATTTCAGAGAGCTTTTGTTTCCTAAAGTATCACAGTTTTGCTATTAATACAGTGTTAATTTGTGATCCTGCAAATTTATTCCCTTAGTAACATAATATGTGTGTGCTTTGTATGTATATAAAGTCCATGACATCCCAAAGAGAATAATTTTTGGCAGTCATAATTGTTCACTAATAATAATTATACAGTTAATGCAAAATTTCTTTTTGTATATTTTTAAAATTTTGTTTGAATCCTTTTGTTTAAAGATTATGCACAAAAAGCATAATCTTTATTTACTTTTATTTAATTTTTATTTCTAAATTTTATTTATAAATTTTATAAATTTTTATTTATATAAAAAGCATAAAATATGCTTTACCCCAATGCATTGACTTGAGGACTCAACTTTTTTCAGTTAACTACATAATAGTCATAAAAGATAAAAAATATGTGTTTATTTAATCAACATAGCAGTACTTTGTTCTTTAATTGACATTCTTGTAGAAGAAACACGTATAAACATATCACACAGATAACATACTATTTATCACTAAAATTTAACCAGTCTCATTTAGAAAAGAGATGAGTATTATTGAGTTGAATGTCCATAAGATACCAATCAGGTAGCCATATACATTTAAAGTATTCTCCAGACAATTACTTCTCCTGGCTAATGAATGTAAAGAGTGCTGACCTAGTAAATCCAAGTATTTCAAGACTTTCATTTATGTATCTGAAATTTGGTGATTGCATAATTGATTCTAGAGATGAATCATAATCATCTGAACAATAAATTTAATTATAGTTATTTAATGGAGAATATATATCCCTGGAAGAAGGAGAAATTTAATGAAGTACTTAAAGGAGGAAGTGAAGGGAGAGGGAGGGGATTGGATGGGGGTAGACAAAGAGTGACAAAGAGAAAGGTAAGGAGTCAATACAGAAGACAGATTCTGAAAGAGCTATAAAATTAATTAAATATCATCCTCTTATGGCTTATTTTTAAATTTTGAGATGAAGGCACTTTGCATTGCATCTGCAAAATGTTTTCAGTTTACACAAAGTTTTAAAAATTGTTCTGAAAAATCTCTTCCACTTTCTTCAAAGAGAAAAGAATTTACAGCAGATCTAAAACCATTTTAGAGATAGAAGGTAAATACATAAATTGTGATTGACAAAAAATGGATAGAACTAATCCAAAAATGATGAATATTTTTCTAGCCTCTATGGTGGTAATTTTGTGATCAATATATTAATGAGCAATTTGAATAAGAAAAATCTGTTTAAATGAGAAACCAAATTAAACCCTTTATTTATGCCACTGGACAAATTTGAAAATCAAAGAGATCTTAAAAATTCATTTGCAATAATACTTATCCTTATGTTAAAAAAGTATAACCTAAAATGTATTTTAAATTTCTAGAGTTTCAAAGCTAGTTTCTGTTCTTATGGGCTGTGGGCACACCCAGCTGTGCTCACTGATTCTGCACTCAGGAATCACTCCTGGTAAGCTCAAGGAACCATATGGAGTTCCAGAGATCAAAACAAGGTCAAGGCACATGCAAGACAAATTCCCTAACTACTGTAGGATTGCTCTTGCCTCTCAAAGTTAATTTCTATATGTACAATAAATTATAATACCACAAGAACATGATAGTTGGTTATTAAGACATCTTGAGAATATAAAGAACTTATCATTGTTATTAAGAAAATCAATTTTTATATTTTGCTATAAAACAAATGATTTATTTTTAAAAGTAACCTAGATTCAGATTTCCACAATCTAAAATTTCTGATACCGTGATTTATGGTGTTTTAAATAAGACGATTGCTCTGGGATTCCAACATATAAGGCCTAATACAACAAGAGTATTGCTGAGCATTGTTCCTCTACATCATTGTATTCCAACATAAAACAAGTTGTGTTACTCTTAGATTAAGTGCCAGATTAATGTGTTTAGGAATTAAGGTGGGAATTATGTGATGTGCTATGAATTGTTTACTTGGAATCAGCAAGCAGCCTATAAATTAAATTGAAAAGACTTTGCTCTGTGTGGTTGTTGACTGAGATCACGGTCACGGTCCTCCCATTGTTCATCGATTTGCTCGAGCGGGCCCAGTAATGTCTCCATCGTGAGACTTGTTGTTACTGTGCTTGGCATATTGAATACGTCACAGGTAGCTTGCCAGGCTTTGCCATGCAGGTGAGATACTCTCGGTGGCTTGCTGGGCTCTCCGAGAGGGGCGGAGGAATGGAACACGGGTCGGCCATGTTGGCTGCGTGCAAGGCAAATTCCCTACCCGCTCCTACCCGCTGTGCTATCGCTGCAGCGCGTTGACTGAGATAACTTTTATTATTTGTATTGATATTTTTCATTGGGCCATAACCAGTGATGCTCAGGAGTAGCCTGGCACCCCTGAATCAGTGTTCTGGAGTTACGCCTGGCAGTAATTTGGCTCATGCAGTGCCAGAGGTTGAACCTGGGCCTCCTACATTCAAAGCAGGTGCTCCTGCCTGTCGAGCCATCTCTCTGCCCTACTAATAGCATTTTAATTAAACAACACATGAGAGAAAATTTTCAAATCCATATTGACTAAATCTATTTTGTTCTCCCATCTCTCAGATACTAACATTTCTCTTATGTGCTTCATAAATGAATTTTCATTTTAGATATAATATTTTCTAGGAGAGCTATTTTCTGAATAAAATATGTCTAAGTTGTTTATAATTCTTATGACAAATTTAAACAAAATTCAGTATTTTTATTGTAATGCAAAAGGAATCCTGGAATGGTAAATACTTGAGAAAATTTATTTAGGTTTTGAAAGTGGTTCATACTGGAACCAGATTAGATACTGGGGCCAGTACAAGGGGTAGGGCTTTTACTTCACATGCAGCTGGCCCATGTTGATTCCTCAAGCTCTGCCAAGTGTTATCCCTGAGCAAAGAGCCCTAAGTACCACCAGGTGTGGCCCAAAAAACAAAAGGAAATGCTCATACTATGCATATGACAGTCATTTTTGTAATATTTTAATAATTCCTCTATGAATTTTTATGCATTTAAGTCTTAATAATTTAAATTATTAAGTCTTAATCTTACATATAAGATAAATTTAAGTTGTTTTTCTCTCCCAGAGGCTCCAGGATATTCCAAGGGAACCCCAGGTGAAAATTACATAAATGAGGTGCCATGGTGTAAGACTAGGAAACCAACTGGTAGGAAACGGTTTCCCATTGGTCCTTGAGGGAAATAAGGCTGAAAAAGGGTGCACTCAGATGAGCACGGGATTCAACAATGGCATTCTATGACCTATTGGGAAGATAATAATAAAATTGCGTCTGCTATAATTTTCAGTATATGTTTTGTTTGCTTTATCATAGAAGAACATGTGAAGTTTAATGGATCCAATTCTAATTTTAGCCCCAGTAATATTTCAATGATAAGGCCTTGTTTGGATGTTTTCCAGTTTTTCACTTGACTCACAATCTTGATATTTCTTTTTATTTACAGAAACTTGTTTCCTCATAAACTGCATGAAAAATATAAACATTGGGCATTTTAGTGTCAACTTAAATATTTAGTGATAAAATTGTCCCCAGTGTCAGAAAACAATGTAGCGAACCAGCTGACTGTATGACTATTTCCACAATTCTGTGGGTAGGGCATTTGCATTGCACATGGCCGACCCAAGTTCGATTCCTCAGTCCCTCTCGGAGAGCCCGGCAAGCTACTGAGAGTATCCCGCCCACACAGCAGAGCCTGGCAATCTCCCCAATGGCATATTTGATATGCCAAAAACAGTAACAAGTCTCACAATGGAGACGTCACTGGTGCCCGCTCGAGCAAATGGATGAGTAATGGGAGGGCAGTGTTACAGACAGTGCAACAGTGCTTTAAGGTGGTTATCACCATCTTTATAGTCACTAAACAATATAAAGCAAGGCCCAAAAGTTATTGTATAATACTATAAAAATTTCCAAAGCAAGAGAGAATCTTAACAGTATCAAATTAGATTTAGTTCTGTTTATAGCATGGCAAGGCATTCATGCATTAACTGCTGTTTAATTACAGTATAATTTCTAAAATCATTAATTGAGCAAGACACTTTTAAGTTTTAATTTTGAAGATTTGTATTTCTATTATGTCAATTAACTACAAATGAAAATACTCAGGGACAGTGGGTGAGATGCGTGCCTTGCACACATCTGACCCGGATTTGATTGTTGAGCACCGCCAGGAGTGATCCCTGAGTGAAGAACCAGAAGTAAGCCCTGAACATTATTGTATGGTACCCTACCACTGCCCTGAACATTATTGTATGGTACCCTACCACTACCCTGAACAAAGGTAAAGGTAAAGGTAAAGGCCCTCCCGTTGATCGTCGATTTGCTCGAGCGGGCCCAGTAACGTCTCCATTGGAGACTTTGCTGTTACTGTGTTTGGCATATCGAATACTCTCGGTAGCTTGCTGGGCTCTCCGAGAGGGGCGGAGGAATCGAACTCGGGTCGGCCATGTTGGCCGCTTGTAAGGCGAACGCCCTACCCGCTGTGCTATCGCTCCAGCCCTAGCCCTATCCTGAACAAAAGATTAAAAAAATTAAATCCTTTTATAGTGCTGCATCTTATGTAGACTTTAAGAATGGTAAAGTTTCTTTTTATTTTATTTGGAGAACATTAATAAAAAAAGTTGAGACCTAGAAATTTAGCATTAGTCTCAGCAGTGAAAATGGATACTTTATTTGTTGCCCTTATAGATATCATTAAGTCAAAGTACAGACTAGAAAGAGTGAGAAAGGATATATTCTTCTGAACAGTAATAATGAATTTCATATTAATTGTTAACTGGCTATTATTTTCTAATTCTGAGAGTGTGCATTTTTTCTGATTTTAAAACTTTCATCGTAGCATATGAATGTACTCAGCGAACCACAGGATGGGGTCAAAAGGCCATTGAAGTTCGCTCTTCTCCGACAAGGGTTCTGGAAAATGAACTGAAGCACAGAGCAGTTAAGAAACTGAGATTTCTGTGTACCCGAGGTGACAAGGTATGGCTTACATTTCCCAGAGCAAAAATAAAGCAAGCAATGAATAGTGACTTAAGAAATCTATGTACTTTTCATTCTACCCATAAACATATTTAGACTATATTTCTTAAATTGACATGCTGTTGATATAATGTTTCATTTTGCAGTAGAGACATTAGTTTTGCAGGTGATTCAACCTACAAAATTTGAAAATGAAAGCATTTTTTAAAGTAAAAGTCCTAATTATGTTCTGATCAAAACATAGCCATTATTTTGTTTGCTGCAATTACCATTTTTCATGTTCGTATATTTAGAAGAATGCTTGAGTAAATTTTGCCTCAGATAATTTACAACGTAATTCAATAATGGAAAGCAAATATTGCTGTTCTGTGTGGTAGACATTTTGCTAAAAACTTTAAAACATTTAAGGGTCAGAGCAATGATACAGCAGGTGGGACACTTGATTTGTACTCATTATATGTGGCTGACATGGGTTCAATACCTGGCACCTCATAGTTCCCTTAGAACTGCCAGGAGTGATCCATTAGTACAGAGCAATGAGTAAGCTCTTAGCACCACCAGGTTTGGCTCAAAAACCAATAAATAAATAAAGCTAACACATTTAATCTTCAAAGTGAGTGTTATTATGCCCATTTTATAGGAAGGAAGTAAAGTAGGTATTTGGCAATTATATACCTTAAATTGACAAATGCATTGTACAAAATAATTACTGTCCCTACATATTATGAGAAGTAACAATGTAAAGAAATAATACTAATAATAACAAGAAGCATTCATGTTTAGAAGAGTTTGCAAATGATTCCAATTAATACCAGCATAACCAGAGTAAAGGCAGTTTGCATCAAGGAGAAAAATACTGTTGTGCAATAACAATAAAAATATTGTTGTGCAAATGGGTATAATGGCAAGCACACGTTTGAGATTAGATAGACTAGGGTATGATGCTCAATCTTTTCCCAACTTAGATTTATGAACATGTAAGAGTGGTTATAGTTTCTGACTCTTAGTTCTTTCAATACTACAATGGGAATATTAATAACTCCTTTTGATGTGAAAATTGCTTATATACATAATAGGCATCTAAGGTTGGTGTATATGTCATGTTAAGTACAGGGTAGTGATAAGAGTGACATTATCATCTTCATTATGTGACAAACCCTCCTTCTTAAGTATAGCCACTGTGAATGTTTAAAGTCTTAGCTATAACACAGAAATCTGTTATTATAGATAAATATCTATGTTTATATTATAAGTAATATTATACTCTGTTCTAATTTTCATTATAGAGCAGACTATATTTATATGTACTGTTAGTCTCAGATGATTCACTTAGCTCACTACTCACTGTATCAGTTGGTTGATCGTAGTCTGAAATAGAAACTTGTATTAAGTAGAAAATTTCAATGATAATGTATACGCCAGGAAGCAATGATGAGCACAGCAGGTAGAGAGTTTGCCTTGCACATGGCCGACCCTGGCTCCATTCCCCTGTCCCTCTTGGAGAGCCCTTAAAGCTACTGAGAGTATCCAGCCCGCATGGCAGAGCCTGGCAAGCTTCCCATGGTGTATTTGATATGCCAAAACCAGTAACAAGTCTCACAATGGAGTTGTTACTGTTACCCGCTCGAGCAAATCTATGAACAACAGGAGGACAGTGCTACAGTGTAGTGTTACTTTCTTATATTAAAAGAAAACCAGGCTGATTAAAAGTAGAGTATTTTTAAAAAATCAAAAAGGAATTGCTACATAAAAAACAATACAGTGTATGGTAAAAGGCTGTTTCAATATATAAATTTGACTGCATACTAAATTTTTTAGTTGCTTGATGAAGATAAAAATAAAATTGTTAATTGTAACTATTAAATATCATGTATTTTAAACATTTACTGAAGTTCCTCTTTCTCTCCTTGTTAAAGCTGTTCTTTTCCTCTACCCTGCGCAACCGCCACAGCCGTGTTTACTTCATGACCCTGGGGAAACTCGAAGAGCTCAAGATCAATTTTGGTGTTTAAAACGTTACAATGACAACATTTACAAACATGATAAATAAGCAATTTGCATCTTAAGATTTCTGAGATTAAATGATACTTCAGTTTTATTGTTAGGGGAAAATTAATTCAGATACTTTTAATGTAGCACAGAATAGTTTTAATGAGAAATGCAACTTCATATAAAAAATTAACTATAGCAAGCTCTATGTACTCCACTGGTGTACAATGTCTTTTGCACAAGCTTTGAAACTTTCATTACTGTGAATTCAATTCAAACATTACTCTTTGGACCATTTGGACAGTATCACTATTCAGATTTTATAACAAAGAGGAAGAAAACAGTAATTAATTAGATTCAAGCAGCATTCAAAATAATTCTATGTGAATAAAATTTATAAGAAAAAATAAAATAGCGCAAACCAATACAATTTTGAGGATATATAATAATCCCCAAGTGTGAGATTATTATACAAAAATCATAAGACCTGTCCTATAAAACAAACCAAGGATGAACATATCTGTCTGGAGAAAAGCACAGTGTTGAAGCAGAAGAGTCTGTTTGATTATAGACAGTTAAACCCAGAAATGCAGACTAGTTCACCCCATATTAAGTTCTCCTGAGAAGTTAAGTTCTAAGAAGGAGAAAGGAAGAAAGCCTCAGGTGTTTTATTTTCCTCATCACCCCCAACCATGTGCAATAGCTGTTTTTACAAACCACCAAATAATACACTTGTAAGCCTGAGTACAGGACTGAACTCCTATACAAATGTACTGTAGCTTTTTATTTTTGAAAACACTTTAAGTAGGCATCAAATTTCACTTCAAAAATGGATTTTTCAAACTTCTTGTCTAGCCAACAATGTGACCATCAGATAGTATTAAATAATTTTTTCGGTCCAAGATTAAACTATCAAGAAATTTCCCACCAGTTATAAAATTGAACGGCAAAATTTTCTATTGCTTGTGTCCTTCCATGTTTTTATTTCAGTAAAATAAAAAATTGAAAGTAATAAATCCATAAATTGACGCTTAAGGGTACAGGATTAAATTATAGATTTTTGGAAAAAATACAGCTTTCATCAAGTAATTAAACCTATAATAGTGAAATCATACTAGTCTGTTACCCCCCCCATCAATATATTAGAGAAAACATAGATAGGTGGTGGTCACTTATGGTAAATGGTAGCTGGTAAAATCATAATTTCTACATATCCATCTTTAATACAGTGGTTAGTTCTGGGGCAATAATCAAGCATCAGAGCTACCACAAAGTATACCTCAACATAGTTACTCTAGTTCTGCTTCTAAAATGTGAAGACAGTGCTACTGGGATAATAATTTTAAACTACCTGGTTAACCCAAGTACAAAAGCAGCTTACTATGTGTGATTTCATATCATCACATTATATCTTGGCACTTTGGTGCCAGGAATGAATATCTGGATTGGATTTTCCTAACAATTTTTTATCAAGAGTGCAGTAGCTCAGTATTGAGAACTTAGGAGAACCTAAATCCATGAATTTAAAATAAATGTGATTCACATTTCTTTTACTGTGACACAATAATGTGATCCTAAAACAGCTTATCCTTGAGTGTTTACAGCTCGAATGACTTTTTAAGTACAGTAGTTTAAAGATAAAAAGAACTTCTCTTTCAAATTATTTCCGTAGACGTAGTTCTCATTATTATTATTTTGTACACCTGAAAGGCTATGGGGAACTTTGTGCAGTACCTCATCGCTGAGCAAATGGAGCTTGCTAAGTTTGAATTTTAGAAAATTTTCTCATTTAAGTAGCATGTAGAATTAAGTTTTCTAAGACTTGTTCTTTATAATATTTACTCAAGCTTTTAGGTATGCAATTAAGTTTTTTCTTAAAATCATATTTTAAGTAAGTAAGGCAGTTAACTGTTTTTTGGAAACTAACCTCTATTGTGTTTGGTGGTTATTGTAGTAAACAAAGACAATGGTGAACTGACTCTTCACAGATGTCCCAAAGTTAACCATGCAAACGATGTTACAAACATATAAACTTAGTTTTAAGTGGTGAGATGTAAAAGAAACAGGGACTTTGGCACACATTAAGAAGGAAGACTGAGATATTTAAAATCATTTTCAAATAATGAAAATTTACTATTTCAATGTAAATCCTATTGGAGTTTATATATCCTTTGCCAGCAAAAATTCTAAAGAAAAGAGACAATTACATTTAAGAATAAATACAATGTAATGGAGTTTTAGCGATAGCACAGCGGGTAGGACGTTTGCCTTGCGTGCAGCTGACACCGCCAACCCGAGTTCGATTCCTCTGCCCCTCTCGGAGAGCCCGGCAAGCTACCGAGAGTATCTCGCCCACACGGCAAGGCCTGGAAGCTACCCGTGAAGTATTCAATATGCCAAACACAGTAACAACAGGCCCTCCCGTTGATCGTCGATTTTGTTCGAGCGGGCCCAGTAACGTCTCCATTGGAGACTTTTGTTGTTACTGTGTCTGGCATATCCAATACTCTCGGTAGCTTGCCGGGCTCTCCGAGAGGGGCGGAGGAATCGAACTCGGGTCAGCCATGTTGGCCGCTTGTAAGGCGAACGCCCTACCCGCTGTGCTAACAAGTCTCAAAAAAAAAATGGAGATGTTACTGGGCCCGCTCGAGCAAAATCGATGAACAACGGGGAGGACAGTGTTTGTTTTACACACAGCAGCATCTTAAAAATCCCTGCCCATCATAGGAGTGTGTGTGTGAGAAAGAGAGAGAAAGAGAGAGAGAGAGCAAGAAAGAGAGAGAGAGAGAAACACCTGACAAGTCAGTCTCTCTAGTCCTGGGATCTGAAGCATGAAATTTCCAACAGGTTATGATGGACAGTTTGATAGTGTTTAATTTTGGTTCAGAGTTTTCAGAAAAAATAGTCCTTGTATAAAATGAAAGTAAGTACCAAAAATATTTGAAAACTTTAAAATAACATATGAAATGGCTGGTAAGGAAAAGAAAATGATTTGGTCTGTTGAAGTAAGGTAAACTCCTTGGAAAGAAAGAGTAAGAAATCATTATAATTAAGACAGTAAATAAGGCAACACAGAAATTACAAATAAATGAACACACTATTAGAAAGCATATATTTTAATATTTTGGTAATACCAAAATGTGTGAAAATTAGTGACTAAAAAGTGTTGTCTTCTTGAGTTCATTTAATTGAAGCAGTGACCATAAAAATTAAGGGTGATGTCACATGCATTTAATAAGACCTTTTAAAATACTGTAAGCACCCCTAAGAAACATGCCTATTTGAATAAATGTGCATTAAATTTGTGGTCTATCTTTGCAAGTATATGGAAAAAATCTTTGAGATTGCAAATTGATTGATCAGAAAGTCTTCAGTGTACCATTGTCCAATCTCTTAAAAATAAAGTTTTAAAATGTATTGTTTGGTGTCATTATTTAATTTTGCTTAATGGAAAATCTGTGATCTATGAAATTATTAACAGATGGGTCCTAGGCATACAATATTCTAGCATCAATCCCACCACCAGTGTCAATTTCCCTCGACAAGAGTTCCCCTTCTCTCTCTCTCTTGCCCCCATCATCATGCCTTTCATCTTTGACTCTAGACAAAAGACAAAGTACAAAATTTAGGTACAATACCACCTTCAAGAAAACAAGACAACCTTGTTTAATATAAAATGCAATGGTTAGGAAATGTTGGGGGCTCAGCAAGTTCTTCTATTAGTTATTTTGACAAAGGACATTTCTATGCATAGTCCCAAGTAATCTTCCATATCTATTCCCAACTTCATCACAAAGAGACAGCTTGTGGGAGACATGTGTTTGATATGCATTACATTGGGTATGGCGGCTCTGGACCATATATATACATATATATATGAAATTTTCCATGCAATTTATGGAAGAGCTTCCTGTTGGAGTCCAGAACACAGGAAGAACTGTGTCACTTTAATAACTTCTGATTATTTTGTATGCTGATTTCCTTATCTTCTTTTTCCACCCTTTCATGTAATTCTCAAATTAGTTATTTGGGTGTTGTGAGAGAGAAATGTGTTTTGTTGGCAGTATCCCATAGAGTTGATCCCATGGGGAAGGAGATTGCCCCCTCTGGCCACTTATTCTTCATGAGACTACCAATTAATCTCTCTTTCTGGTGCTGTTGAGTTCATTGTCCAAATGACATTCATTAGATCTTGAGAGAAATGAAACTATGAGGGGAGACTTACTCAGACAGAAACTTGAAAAATAAGAGAACATTCCTCAATGTGGGGATCACTAACAAAACGCTCCTTCCTCTTACATTACATAACTATGAGGGGAGACTTTTGCTCGAGCGGGCCCAGTAACGTCTCCATTGGAGACTTTGTTGTTACTGTGTCTGGCATATCGAATACTCTCTGTAGCTTGCCGGGCTCTCCGAGAGGGGCGGAGGAATCGAACTCGGGTCGGCCATGTTGGCCGCTTGTAAGGCGGACGCCCTACCCGCTGTGCTATCGCTCCAGCATGAGGGGAGACTTACTCAGACAGAAACTTGAAAAATAAGAGAACATTCCTCAATGTGGGGATCACTAACAAAACGCTCCTTCGTCTTACATTACTTACTCCTTTTTGATTGTAACATATATTATAAATCCAGAATTTATACTAAGACCTAGTGAGTGAAGGCAGGAGAAAATGAGTGTGCTCTATTTTTTCCTAAAATTTTTATCGATCTAAAAATTGACCATTTTATTGCCCTTTCTTCCTCTTTGTCTCACACATCAATCTCCATCTTAAGATTTCTGAGACCATCTCTCAAATAAAACAAAACCAAATTCTAATACAATGTTTAGCTTTTGGTAGTAAAAAATAGAAAGGAAAATAACTATAAAATAAGTTAAGTTCTGGGAGGTATTATTGTCTAAAGAAAGAATCACTTACAAACTGGTGAAACATCTCTGGCATAATCATAATAAAAAAGTTGAAATATAAAAAAAATTAAGCATTTCCATGTGCCATTCTGGACCAGTTAAATATTTTATTAATATAACACTTACATGTTC